TGGTTAGAGGAAAAGGTATTTATTAAATATCAGCCTTTATGCTTTCTTCCTAAAGTCCAGACTGTGAAGGCTGTGTTCAGTCTGTGCATGCTGGTATGTCATAAAGTCCAAATATGGAGACATAGGGGGAAGCTAAAAGTACTACAATGTTCTGCATGTGTGCAGTTATTGAGGCCCCTCTATATTTAGTTGCTAGTTTGCCAGTAGTCTGGCTCTTTCAGGAAGCTTTGGATGATGTTTACAGTCTAATTGCTCTGTTTATCTAATGACACATAAATTTATTTGGATGCTTTCTGAAAGTATCAGGCTTATTGCCCGTGGCTCTACAGCACGCTAGTTCTGACAATGTTCCTTGGTATAAGCAAATCCTCAACGTGGTATTTTCCAGCATGTGTGAACCACAGTTTTCATTGTGTCTTGGCATAGTCAAAGGCCTTCGACCTCTTAGGAAGAGTAGAAATGCTTGAAAAATTACGGTATTTTAGAAGCATATATAGTGTTACATATGTTTCTTCTTTGAGGTCAGAGGAAGGAAGGAATTTCAGAGCCAGGAAATGCTGACTTGATGGCAACCCTGGTTGGAACTCTATTCTGCTCTATGCAGTGTCTGAATATATATATCATTATGTAACTGAGTTTTAAGGTGCCTAGAAGTTGAAGAGGACTTGAGTAATTTAATGTTGATGACAGCATGGCTTCTCATCTAGTAAATATTTAAAATGAATTTTAAACCTAAGCTGAATATCTTGATAGCAATTTTGATCAGTTCTTAATACTTAAACATGTTTGTTTATGTATATTTTCAGGAAATGTGATATTGATTTAGATTTCTCGCTGCCAAGGAAAACAAGCTTATCATCTGACAGTAACAAAACATTTTGCATGATTGGACATTGTACATCATCTCAAGAAGAATTGCTTCGCTTGTCGGGTAGATGGAATCTTGGAAATCTGCTTCTATTTAATGGTACCTTTGAATGCTTTTTTTTCTTGAATAACTCTTCATTTCCTCTTCTCTCTCCAAGATCAAAGGCTTATTTAGTTGTTGGGTTTTTTTTAATGTGCCAAGCTTTAACAGTAAAACCAATGATATATTCTTTAGCATCATATTGTATCAGGGAGAAAGTAGGCAAATGTTTCAGTATTGGGTACTTCCTAATGTGCTCTTCTGCCATATTCTCTTGCTTTCTTTTTAGTGACATAATTGGTAATTATAGTTACTTTAGTGGTTTTTAAAATTTCTTTAAATTATACCTTGGGATAGGGGATGGAAAGACAGTGGTGTTTGTTCTGGTTTGGTTTTTTTTTTTTTTTTTAAGCACTCAGTCTCTTTTATCTGGAAAATTGATTTCACTTACCTGCTTTTAAACTACTAGCTTCAAATTACTTAAAGCACATTAAAAAGTAAATAAAATCTGAACCACTGAATGCTGAGTTAAGCATGCTTTTTTTCTGAAACTACTGATGTTACTGGTCTGTGGTGTGTCAGAAATAAATTTTGCTTTATTGTATACTAAAGAGTTAACAGTTCATTTTCTGGATTTTAGGTGCAAATATTGGACCGGAGGAAGCATTTTACTTATACACATGTGGGCCAGACTTCACATCTGTAATGCCTTGTAAATATGGCAAAATGTTGACTGACTGCTCCAAGTACATAAGTAAAGAGATTCTACAATGTGAACAAGTTAAGGAGCTCTTCATGACAAGAAAGGAAGTGGATGTTGGGCCTTTAATTGTAAGTTTCTACTTAAAAATGGTTCTTAATCTCTTAGAAATGATTAAGAAATTCTGAACAAGTTTCCTGCTGTCTCCCAAAGTGCTTCACTTGATCAAAGTGGACAGGAGCAAATCCTGTTCTTGTTAAAATCACTGCAGTGTTCTTCCCACTTATTTCAATGGGAGTTGAACTCCACACAGGGTGGCTGTTTCATCTTGCTTTAGGTTGGATTCTGAAAATTTCTAGATGTTCCAGCATCTATAATACTGTGTACTAAATTGTACTGGATAAACAGGCACCTCCAAAAGGTCTAGGATGGATATATAGAGAGAATCCCTTCGTTAGTGTAAAGGTAGTCAAGGACAGCTTAGTTAACCTGTTAACATTAAAACTGAGAGGGGAGGAGAAAGGAGGCTTTATCTGGCTTTAACAGGAAGCAAAAGAATTCATCCCAGTTCTTTGAAGGTTTTGAAGGGGGTAAGTTTGCATCAAATTTAGCTGAAAAGTCATTCTGCAGCTGGCAGATCTTAGCTTTTTCTCATCTTTCGTGACTGAAACAACCATGCCAGATGCAGGTGTAAATACAGTGACACTAGAAAAAAGAATAAAATAAAGCTTTTTGAAACCTGCTATATTTTGGGAATTCATACACTAGTAACTCCTGTTGTATGAATTGTTTCCAGTAGAGGGATTTTTCTGATCTTGTAGGGGGTCATTCTGTCTGGATATGATCCTTGGAAATGGTACCAAATTTTGAATAGGTTAAGAAGGAATGAATGGGATAAGTAAAAGTTTAGCAAAGCAGTCTTGCAACTTTTAAGCTTATTTTGTCTTACAGAACACCAAGTAGCTAGAGAGAAGAACCATGTGCTTGAGTGATGAATTAATCTTTGCACTTTTGCAAAGAATACAAGTGCCTTAAATGAAATTATTTCTCTATTTTAAATAACCTTCCAAATATGATAATTTTACATTTTCTGTGAAAATTAGTTGGTTACTTTCCGTAGGAGCTTTGGCTTTTGTTTAAGTCTCTTCACTGATGAAATTTCTTCTCTTGAGTTCCTCTTATGGCAAAGCTGATGAAAGGTTAAACTTAAAACAAAAAAAAATGAGAAATTTTTAAAAAACAGCCTATAACTTTCTATTTTGGACTTGCCACTTTAGAAAAGGAAACAATTTACCCGATACCTCTGTATGCTCATTTTATTTTATCTATGTCAATAATTTGTTTTTATGCAAAACAGTTGTCATTCTGTAGGTGATAAGAATTGATGGAATTTTTTAGTGCTTTCTTAACTTTCTGTGCTTTAGGTATTGCATAAATTTTCTAAGATTTAGGAATCCTGTTGCTTTTTAGTGCATGTGCTCCACACGCAACTTTAGAGCATGCTAGTGCTAAAGTAGAAATGAACCGCTGAAGTTGTTGCTACTTGCTTTAGGCGGCTTTTGTGTCCTGGACGTGTGAGGGTTTTTGTATTAAACTTTCTAGAAAAAAAATTTAAACTTCTCTTGTTTCAGGAGAGTCTTGCTGTTGTTTATACCACATGCTGCCCTGGTCAGTACACCATATATGAACCTGTTATTAGACTGAAAGGTCAAGTGAAAACTGTACCTTCTCAGAGACCTTTCAGTTTGAAAGAAGTTCAAAGCAATGTATTGGACTCTCATCACCTAAAAACACTTCAGCCTGTTGAATATAAAACTCTTCAGAGTATACTACATGAAATTGGAGGAACTGGTGCATTTGTTTTCCTCTTTGCTAGGGTAAGGGGGCTGGAGGAGGGGGGTTGCATGTACGTGTTCTCCCATATAAAATTTTCCTTGGATCTTGGGTAGCAAATCTCATTATTCTAGCTGCCTTTCTCTAGTCTGCATGTGATGCCTTTCTGTTAAAACTTGTGGTAAATACTTGTGCCATAACAGACTGTATCACACGGGTTGTCTTAAATTGGAAATGTAATTATAATTCTATTGCGTAATGTTTAGTTAATATTGCTAATATGTAAGATGGCATGTTACATTTTGATTTAGAAATAGGACTTTTAAATGTCAAAAAAGATTATTTTTAGGGGTGTTGTAAAGCTGATCATATTTTTGGTCTCTGATTTTGAAGCACTTAAATTCATGGCATGTCTTTAACAGTTTAACCACAGAATACTCACAATGCAAGTATGAATAAATGTGAAACTACATGGTGTGCAAAGCTTTATTTTTATCTGATAAATCATGAGAGCTTTTTGAGATAACTGTTCAGCTGTGCTCAAAGGCTTACTTATCCAGTGTAAGAGAAAATGTAATTTCAAAAAGAGTAAGGCTATGAGCCTTAACTTAATTACTACTTACTTAAATGTGACCTTTATGTGGAGAGGCTAATATTTGTGCCAGGAATCTCTGAAGTACTACAGTTAATTCAAAATACTACTGTAGACCTAAAGCTTGTCTTGATTTATGTGTCTCTGGTATGGTTCTGAAAGATATATGGAGAGTAATAAATGCACATTAGATCATGGCTATGAAGACACTGCCTGCTGTAATTTTACCATTGATTGTGAAATCTGAGGAGAAAATCCTTATCCATGTTATTGTATTATGTGAATTTATACCAAGTACGTGCTACAGATCAGTAGTACATAGACTGTTTGCATCAGAAAGGCAAGAAGACAATAGATCAGATGTCAGGCAATACAGGTATACATGTCTATAAATGTGTAGTGCAGCAGAATTAACAGGTATGTGGCAAGGGAAGCTATGAAACTGAAGTTCCATTAATGTGAGATTTCATTCTTGTTCATTTTTGGTTAAAATTCTATTTGCTTTTTCTTGGGATTCAAGAATTGTAGAAAGTAAAAAGAAAAGAATGGTTTGTGGTCTTCATCTACCAAATTGCTTGTCTCTTTGTGGATAAAATAAAACTTTTGACACTTACAGGTAGGTATAGTCTAGACCTTCAGGAACCTTATTTTAAAGCTTTCCTTAAACATTTAAGAAACTTAAGTTTCCAGGGCAAACAGATTATTCTTATTAGAGGCTTATGTATTTCATGATCTTGTGACTTTGTAGTATGGTAAGTGCCTTCTACTTTAAATTTATTTGGAACAGACATTTTTCTTGGAAAAGGATTCTTGTAAAGGGACTTCTATTTTCTTAGCAGATCATAATTTACCACAATAGGAATTGTCAATTCAAATATATCTGAATGTACACACATAGACAAAAATGGAGGCTACGTACATAACATCAAACTCTTTAAAACAGATTTAATCCAGAAGTTATGATTTAGGAATGCAAAAAAGTATTTTTAAGTCTTTTTCTTCTAAATGTTTCTCACTCTAACTGTCTTATAAATTTGCCTTTTCTTCAGGTAGTAGAGATTAGCAGCTGTGAAGACACTCAAGCTTTAGCACTACAACTTATACTGTCTTTGACAAAATACAATCAACAGAGAATACAGGAGATGGACAATTGTAATGGTTATTCTATGATTCGTCGAGTGTTGATCAAACCAAAATGCATTGTTGGATTTTGCATGCTGAAGGTAGAGTCCTCTTTTAAACCTGATATTTTGTTCAATATTAGCACAAATTTAGAAACTTCTCTGTGATTTTAATTTTACATTTGAAGCTGTTTTTACAGAGGCAGAACAGTTATTTTAAGCAAGTTTGGTGTTGACCAGGTATATATGTCTTCCCTATTGAGAGTATGCTGTCTCTTTAAAGATTTACCTTTTTTGTTATAATTTGGATAGAACAACTATACTACTTTATGATTATGACACTTAAATTTCCCCCTTTTCAAGACTCTCCTTGAAGGATGCTGCAGTGATGAGATTCTCTATATAAATGAAAATGGACAATTCCAGCTTGATGCAGACTCTACTGCAGTTATTCAAGATGTTCAATTGTTAGAAAAGTTACTGCTTGACTGGAAGATATGGTCTAAAGCAAAGGTAAGTACTTTAGTTTTGGAAATATTTCAGGTCTAAAATTCAATATTTAAAAAAATAATTATTATGAGTAAGAAATTAATTTCTCCAGTTACATGTCAGTAATTATTACAATTTTCTAAAATTAATGGTCCTTATTTTTCTTTGAATAGCTATTAGTAGCATTAAGCTCCCAATATCAATGATGCAAGTAGCCTTATATATTAAAGTCTGTAAATGTGATGTATGCATATGACTTGTTAGTTGAACTGATGAATTTTTTTGTGCAGAAATTGCTAAAACTAAGAAAGACCTGCTTTCTTTTGGAGTTAAACTATTGAAAACAACCATCCAGTGTTAATATAGCAAAGAATATACAAAACTAATTTTAGACAGGAAGTTTAAGATTTTTTTTGTGGTAGCTTAGTCATTAAAATAAACTTAGTTTTGTATAAACATAACTTTTCTGATAGTTTCTAGTTCTGACTTACCATTTGTGGTCATTTAGTCATCATCCTGGGTGCAAAACTAACTTGACTTCATTGTGTTTGTTTTTTGGTTTTTTTTTTCACAGTGTGTAGACTCACAAATGTATTTTTGAAGTGATGTTTCTGGTTTTTTTGTTTTTCAGCAAGGTGTTTGGGAAACTCTGTTAGCAGCTCTAGAAATCCTTATCAGAGCTAACCATCATCAGCAGATGTTTAACATTAAGCAGTTATTGAAAGCTCAAGTGGTACATCACTTCCTGTTAACTTGTCAGGTTCTGCAGGTACTTTCACTCTCAAATCCTACTTTGTGCTTGGCAAATTCTCATTTTAAATGGGGGAGGGTAAAGAGACTAAATGTGGTAGAAAAAGCTACTTCAGTAGACAGTCCTCTGTGCTTCTAGATCCAGTAAGGAACTGTATAATTTTACATCAACAATGCCTAGATACAGAATGTTTCATAGTATTTCCTGTCTTTTCTGCACATAAGGGAAAATTAGTATCTTGCTTAAAAAAAACTACTCGAATTGGGCAACAACAATTTGGCAGTTTTGGGCGTCTGGTGGAATGGAAGATGAAATTATATAAACCATTCCCTTTGGAAAAAATCACTTCAGTTAGCTTAATTTAGTCTTTTCTGCAGCAGTCTCAGTTAAGGTGCTTGGGTATAAAAAAGGAGATGGAAATTAGAGAACTTGGGAATAAGTTAATCACTATGGTCACCTTAGAATAGGATTTCTCACAAGTTTCTTTAAGTCCGGTTCTAAAATCCATATTCTTTTAATAGATTTTTTTTTTTCAGCTAGCCAGCATCAAACTATAGAATGCTTGATCAAGCAGAAATTATAAATACAATTATCAATGAAATCTCAAATGTGTATGTTTATAAAAATGGCTATTGAAGTGGAAATACAGAAGACCCAGTGTGGCACTGTTCAGAAAGTTTTCAATGTTTGAAATGTTGGTATTGGCAACTATTAATTTCTCTGTAAATATGTAATACAATGACAATAACCTATATTTTCAATGGTGATTCATGTCCAGCATTTCAATACAGATTAGTATAATATGCTGAACATTTTAGTTTTCCAAAAATCAACTTGCATAACATTTGCAATACCTTGTTTCTGTCTGGATTTTGAGTGGGCTGGATTTGGATAATATTGAGTAGGTGCAGTAGGTCCTCTCAAATTAAAGAATACAACTTTATTAGTTGAGCTTCTTTTCTTATCTGTTTTACTACAGCATGACAACTTAAAAAAAAAAAGACAATTGCTGTCAAATTAAAAATACAAGTAACTTATAGTTGTGCTGCTCTTTCTTTCTAGGAGCATAAAGAAGGGCACCTTGCATCCCTGCCTCGGGAGGTTTGCAGGTCATTTGTGAAAATAATTGAAGAAGTGCTTGGTTCTCCCCCAGACCTGGAATTGCTGACACTGGTCTTCAATTTCCTCTTAGCGGTTCACCCTCCCACTAATACATACGTTTGTCACAATCCTACTAATTTCTACTTTTCCCTGCACATAGGTAAATATGTCACATTTAGCTAGTAGTAAGCAATAAGATAAAAATCTGGTCGTAAATTAGTATCTAAAAAAATGTCTTTGCTGTATTTTAGTAATGATATATAAAAAAATTATCGAATTCTTGGGAAAATACTGTAAACTACTTTTACTTTTCTGAGAGAGGTTTGCTTGGCTTACTTGGAGAGCTTTCTTCTGTCTACAGCCATAGGTAATATCTCTGTGATTATGCCATTAACTTCCTTTAAAGTTTGGTGCTGCTAAATGGGATGCATAATGTTAGCTGCCTGTGTGGACACATTTGTCTTGGGTGAACTTGGAGAACAACATCTAGCTTGCTCGTAAATGAAACTTTTCAGAAATATGTGCATATAGTCTTGTTTTAATTTCTACTTTCTTGTTTACTGTTATGGAATTCCTGGAAAAATAAAAGGCCTGAGGGGCATTTTTAGCAATTGATCAGTTGCACTACAAGATGTCACTGGCAGGCACTATCAGTTCTTACTAGTTACTGGCAGTACTTTATGGGCTTTGAGGGATGCAGACCTAGAACAACAGCTTCTTTAATATATCTGTGCTGGATGATCATGTTGGCAAAATTACTGATATGAGCTTTAAAAAACTCTTTCTTACTCTTTTTAAAAATGAGAAATTATGAACAGTTCGTGCTTTAATATTAGCATTGTGCAACCTTAGCCATAACTGATGTGAACATGGAAAGCATCATCCAATTTTGAAATATTTTCTCCTTTTGCAGATTCCTGTGTACCTCCAGGTTTAGTAATCAGTTTCAAAGGCAGCACAGTTGTATTTATATGTATCTGTCCTCTAATACCAACTGGTGTAAAATTCTGAGTCTTGGAGCCTTACTAGGCTGTTTGAGAACAGTCACTTGTCTTTGACATGACAAAAAGTCAGTTATCACTACTTGTATGCCTGCAAGGACTGTCTATAAATGTAATTGCTTTAGTACATCATAATATTTTCAGTGTTCTAAAATAAATTTTAAAGTTGGATCACTAAACCAAAAAATGGTGTTCAAGTGCTTTTTCTAGGTTACTTGCACTTGAGCACTTCTCATTAGCCTCTAGTGATCCGCTCAAAATGTAATCTGACTACTACGAGTCTAATTTGTCAACAATGCAAACATAAAACACTTTTATTTAACTTTTTCCCTTTTCTTTCTAGATGGCAAAATTTTCCAGGAGAAAGTTGAATCACTTAGGTACCTGAGAAATTCCAGCAGTGGTGGGAAGTCAGTAGACAATTCTGCATTTGTGATTACATCTCCAACTGGATTTACAGCTTTACCACTGGAAGGTAAAACAATGCTGGAAAAAAAAGGATGTTAAGACACAATCTTTTGGCAAATAACCAGAGTGCCTGAAAGTGTTACTTTCCCACAGGTATCTCTTACAGAGCTCCCCCTGTCCCTTGGAGCTTGATGCCTGAACAGCAGAGTAGGAAGGGTGGAACTGAACATGCTACCTAAACTGCTCCTCATTCTTAAGTAGAGACAAATTGCCACATTGATGGCTCAGGCAGTGAAGTGAACCAGATAAGCTGAACCATCTCATTTGTTGAACAGACCTGCTGAAGATGCCTGAGAATGCCTTAGCCAGGCAGCAGTTGAAGTAGTGAGCCATAAGCAGCTATCTTATCTGGGCAGGAAGTGTTAAGCGGATTCTTTTCTTTATTTGTGCATAATTCTTATCTGTCTAAATATGGTATTAAAGTATTACCATTTAGTTCTACTGTAGGTATAGAAACATGATAGAGGATGGGAAAGTATATCTTATGAAGAACAACAAGATACCTTGGTTATAAATTGGTATAAATTAAAATTGAATCATTTTCTGGGAACAGTCTCAGCATGCTGAACAGGTTGAGGTCTGTAAAGATAACTGCTTTCATCAGTTTTGAATTCCTCTGCTATAGATGCTGAAATACTGTGAAGTTATTTGTTCAAGCTTAACTTTTTTTTCAGTTGGTGTCCTGTCAGTGGGATGTTTTTTGCATTATTATTGAATTAGAGTTTTAATCATGCTTTTTACAGATTTGCATAGGCAATCAACAAATATCATCTGAAAAACAAAAGCTGAAACACCACTTCTGTTTAAGCCTTTATTTAAGCTTGACAATGAGAAATAAATTCAAAATAAAAATTCATAGTCTAAGTTCACCAATATATACAAAATAGGAATGGAAAAAAGTTGTATTGATCTCTAAATTAACTGCTATATATTTCACATCTTGTGTGACTCAGTTATCTTCTGTGTATTACAGTGTAATACTTTTACAATTGATGTCTTGTTGCTACTTTGCTTCGGAAAAGGAAATTGAGTCTTCAACTACTTCATTTGAAACAATATTTATTCATGTGTCTCTTTAGAAAAGCAGTGATGTAAAGAACAGATCACAGTACTAAACTGCATATGGAATTAGTCCTTTTCCCATATGGATAATATATGACATCTCATTCTTCTAAACTGAATACTCTTTTTATATAGGTAGTACAAATTGTTGTTCTTGAATAGAGATTATTCAGGTGTACTAGAGGAATACTCAACATTTTTATTTTTGTGTGAAAATGGATATTTGAGTATTGTAGTTCTGAATTTGAATTTCTAAATTTACCTATATAAATTTATAAATTATACAAATTTATATTTTGTCTGGAACTGTAGTAGTGGTAGGATAAGGAGTAATGGGTACAAACTGAGAGGGGAAATTTAGGTTAGATATTAGGAAGAAATATTTTACTGTCAGGTTGCCCAGAGAGGTTGTGGATGCTCCAATCCTGGCAGTGTTCAAAGCCAGATTGGACAAGGCTTTGAGCAACTTCATCTAGTGGGAGGTGTCCCTGCTCATGGCAGGGGAGGCTTGGACTAGCTGAGCTGTAAGGTCCATTGCAACCCCTTAACATTCTATAATTCTATAAAATATTTTAAATTGGAAGCTCGTTGGATAACCTGCTACCTGTATGTGGGTTTGCAGTTTGTTGCACTACCTGCTAATGTGTGTAAAAGATTGGCTGTAAGACTGTTGCAGCTGTATAAGTGCAACTTTATAAATATTTTCTATTGTCTGCAGGCCAGCTTGGTCTGGTTATGTTGGCACATGTATGTATGTATGTATATATATTCACATATTTGTTTTATATATATATTCTCATAAAAACTATATTTGTGATGGATCATCATTGCATCATTGCACTTAAAAGGAAGCATTATTAAATAAAATATGCAATTATTAGTTGTAAACTTGAAGTATGTGTAAAACCTTAGTGCAAATGGGTTGGTGAATAGTATTTCAATGTCCACTGAAACATGTTGGTAGATTGGACCTCTTACACAAAGGTCCACATAGAACAACTTGTTCTATTTGACCCTGCTTTGAGCAAGGAGTCTGGTCTAGACAACCTCCATTCTCAGTGATTCTATACAAATTCCTGCTGAGGGTTAGTTGAGAGGATCACGATTTAAATCCAGAAAACCCAATATATTGTCAAAAATTATTTTGTATTTTATGCTTCTTTCAGATTTGTGACTTGCTAAATATATGGCTCCATAGTAGTTTACTTGATTTACCAAATCTGAGCTATGTCAGGTGTTGTCAGTTTTGCAAATAAAACTAACTTAGGTCACCACAGTGCTAAATGTATAAGGAGTCTAATATTGAGAGAAAAGTTTGTTTCTAATGTGAAAGGAATGCTAAAGATATCCTTATTTTTCTAGGGAACACTTCCAAGGCTAGTGTTCAGCAGAAAACAAGCTCTCAGGCACCTGGAAGGCTTTCTAAAAGCTTACCAGCATCGCCTACCTCCTCACCTCAAGTTCACCGAAAACGACTAAGTGAAAGAATGGGAAAGAGCACTGATGACCTGCTGCTTATTGGGGAGCATGACTACATTGATCTTCAGGATAGAACTGCTTTTGTAGAAAGTTCTGAAACCATGAGGAGAGTACAGGAAGAGCTTCTTAGCAGTTGTGAGTCTGCAAAAACAGTTTGTGACTCAGAGCTAACATCTGCTGAAACATTTGAAGATATTGCAAAAGAAGTAGAGTTATCTGAAAATGCATTTGAGAGTAAAGAAGCAGATGCAGACCTGAAATGCAGTGAAGGTGGTGGTGGTGGTGCAGCTGAGCCATTGCTACGTCGTCCAGACAATCTAAAAGGACTGCCTTCATTTCAGAAGGGCCAGAGTAATTTTGCAGGGTTGGGCTTAGCATTTTCTGTTCTTGGAGCATCATCAGCCATTGCTCGCTGGCCAAGCTTTGCTGACAAGAATGTACTTCCTGAAGACTGGGACAGTCTTGCTTTTTCTTCAGCTAATGAGAATACCCCAAAACCATCTGAAAGCCCTGATGACAGGTGAGCACATAAAATAATAAATTAAGAGTTGCACAGTATATGAGCTTTAATTTCACTGTTCTTGCTCTTGGTTACTATTCTATAAAAATTTGAATCCTAAAAATTCAGGGAATTTTTTCATACACTGTCATACACAAATTTATTAAGCTTTTAGTCCATAGAATGTTGTGTTGTTTCAATTTTTGCATTATTTACATAGCAAATTTTAAAAATCAGTATTTTTGCTATGTACAGTAGAAGTGGGAACTTTTTATGGTACCTCACAAAAACTCAAGCAAGTAGTTCTGGTCAGATTATCCTTTTTGCCATCTGCCATCTAAAAATAAGTGCTAATGAAGATTGGTAGTAGGAATATTGCAGAAATGATTTCTCTTCCAAATTTCTTCTTCCTCCTGTCCCCCAAGAATTGCTAGCAATTATGCATTGTTTTAATCTTTTCTGCTATAGACAATAATCAGTGGTAAAACATATTCCTCTGTTTTCAGGTGTACAGAAGACTATCTTGTGCTTATCTGTTGTGGATTATATGATCTCTTGCGTGGAGTGCTCCTAATCCTACCAGATATCATGCTAGAAGATGTGATGGACAAACTTATCCAACCTGATTATCTTATAGTTCTGGTGAACCACCCATCTCCTCTCATACAACAAGGAGTCATTAAAGTAGGCCAAATATAAAATGTTTTCTGCTGAAAAGATGTGAACTTGCATAGTTAACATTTGGAAATATGAAGTTTTGTTAATATTTTTATTCAGCTTTCTTCAGTTTTCTATGTTTACTTCTGAGTTTTAAGATATGTTTCTACTCCATAGATTTAAAAAAACCCAAAAAAGCAAACGCAAATGTAGAATCTTTGAATAGATATAGTCTATAATGTAAGACAGAGGCCCTGAGAGCTTATGATGGCATTAACAATATAAATGGAAGGAACAATGCAGAAAGTCAGTGACCGTCTCTTCAACACAAAACACATGATGCACTACATTAAATTAAAGTGCAAGCTAAGTTTTTACTTCTTACATAACTGACTGAAAATGGACCTGAGGCTTCAAAATCTTTTCAGAGGTTTTTGTAACATTGAGAAGGACAGTGTTCCTGTATGATGACATTATGTAGAACTTTGAGTAGATTTGTATTTTAATTTGAAAAAGAGTAAGATTATAAGGCTTTATTAAGAACAAAAAAAGTCATGCATGAACACCAAAGTGCAAGATTTAACAAATATAAAAAGTTTGAGTGTATTTATGTATGCATCTGCTAACTGTTATGTGTGTGATTTCATCTCCCTCAAACTTAACTAAAAACCTAAGAGTCTTCAGATCAAAAATATAAGATGTTGACTGTAACAAGGATTGTAACTGTTCAAATCGCAGACAACAAATTAACTTTCAGGGCAGTTATATTAAATGTTTAAATCTTACACCATAATTATGCATTTATTTTTAGTTGTTGGATGCATATTTCAACAGAGCAAGGAGGGAGCAGAAGGAGAAATTCTTAAAGAACCGTGGCTTCTCCTTGCTAGCCAACCAGCTCTATCTTCATCAGGGGACTCAGGAAGTTGTAGAGTGCTTTTTGGAAATGCTTTTTGGCCGCTCTGTTGGCTTGGATGAAGAGTAAGTAATGCTGTGTTTTTACATCCTGTAGCAATATGTGAACTACAAGCAGTGCACTTTGCTGGTCAGCAACCATAAAAGAAGTTCCTTCAAAACAGTTTTGAAATGTTTTGCTTGTAGCTTCAACACTTAAATGTATTAAAATTCTTAGGACTATTGTATGGCCCTTAAACTGCAAGCAACTTCATCTGATGAGTGCTGTTAGATGGGATCTTGTAAACACTCAGACTTTCTGAGTGCCTCAGAGGCCTTAGCACTTCAAATGTCCTGTAACCAATTTAACTCTCCCTGTTGTTTCTGATCCTACATGAAACTGATTTATATCCTTAAAAGTTTTAAGTAGTAGTCATGAGACTTCTGCTATTAGATTTTGGAAGGTGGTAAAGCAAAAAGCTTGATGCCACAGCTGCTTCCTTGGCTTGGCCCTGAATTTAAATCCCTGTTTCTTTTAGGGAAAATCCCAGAGATACACCACTTCCATGAACTAAAAAGCCACCTCATATTGACAGGAAAGGAGATTACCTTTAAGGAGACAATTATATAAGTAAATGATATTTTTTTAGAATTAGTCTGACCACTTAATGATGGTACAGGGAGCACATGTGTAAGTATAATCAGTGCAAAAATCTTACAAAAAACTCCTTCTCGATTGCTGCCTCTGCAGGATTTGTAGCTAAATTACTTCTCCCTCTTGACTTGATCTTCACTCCTCAAAAATTATTCTTGTTTAGCTGCAAGATTTAAATATGGCTCCTTAACTTACCTCAAAGCAGAGAATTGTTACTTTTTCAGGATTTATTATGAGGCTGGAAATATAGTTCTAATGTCTCAGGTTTTTAGGATTGTGCACAATATTTGTGTGGTGGTAACCTTATAATAGTAATGCAATTTCTTAGTCCACAAGTAAGACAAGGTCAGAAGCACTGCTTTTAATTCTACAACTGTAATAAGCCAGAAGGTGCCAAACTTAATTAAACTTCAGCAGTAATGGATACAGGATATCAAACCTGCTGTCACTCAGTATATTATTATACTGATGACAAGCTGTATTTATTTTCTTGGTAATTCTGTGCCAGTTGTAATACTCGTTATTGGAAAAGTGATGCATCGTTTTTCTACACTGATTAAAATCCCTGTTATTTTCATGAAATCTATATTGTAGACAGTTGGTAGTTAGTCAAAACTTCAGATATACTTTTTAGGCACATCATTTCTTTGTAGCTCTTCAAGGTGTTAATTTTGTTCTTATTTTCTTTAGTAGACAGGCATTGTTATGGCAGTTAAATGTAGGAAATTACCATCTGCACCTTTGCCAAAATACCGGCATAGAGTGGTATTCCAGTTGCATATATTAGTTGCATTTATCAGATTGGTATTTTAAGGATGTCACTCACATATATTTCTGTTAATAGATTTGATCTGGAAGATGTCAAGAATGTTGGACTCTTTCAAAAATGGTGTGTCATTCCTGTTCTGGGTCTTATAGAGAATTCTCTCTATGATAACGTTTTGCTGCATAACTGCTTCTGTCTTCTGCTGCAAATCATAAATTCCTGCTCAAAAGTCGCAGACCTTCTGCTTGATAATGGTTTGCTCTATGTGTTGTGTAATACGCTGGCTGCTCTCAATGGACTGGAAACAAAGTGAGTATTGTATCCATTCCTATCAAATAGTCTAGGCACAACCTTAAGGCTAGCATGAAATTACTGTCTTCAATTTGTTCTACTTGCTAAAATTGTCTGAGAACGTACCAAACAAGGGTTTGAGGTTTTCAGCTTTAATTATACCTGTAAGTTAATGTTTAGATATTCACTTCAAACAACAGAATATAGAATGTTCTTTCCATATCTTAAACTGTCAAGTGAAATGACATTTTAAGATGCAAGTTTGTCCCACTGTCTGCACTTTGGATGCTTTTCTTAATAAAACCAAACAGGAGATAGTAGCATTCTACTGTATCTATAGCCAATATTAAAACTGCAGAAAAGTATCTACTGTACTGCCTGTGATTTAATATTTGAGATTTTGAGTAACTTAAATTACTTTATTAGTTAGAAAGATTCTGTACTTTAAGAAAGGTTATGCAGGAGAGATTTATTTTATTTTATTTCATTAGCTGGTATCCTGAAGAAATGGGAAAGTTTCCTTTTCACCTGATATAGTTTTAGTTCAACATGGTTACAAAATTAGATACTGATAATACTTTCTGAAAAATACAGAATTTTAGATTTGTTCTTTACTTAGAAATCTGATAATATGTCATTGCTTTTCCAATAAAACTGTGTTACACTCTTGTTAGAATGTCTCAAATTTGCAGGCATCCAATCTGCCAAAGTTAACACTAAAGAAATATCTTAGATTATAATGTTCTAGTCTTTAGTAGTAACATTTTTATGTTAGTACAACATACTAATAGGTATGGTTGGTGGAAGAAGCAAGGGGAATAGTAATGGGTCATGTTATAAGTTACAATCTACTAGAATTGTCATGTTTCTGGTAACTAAAACTTTGTTTGCAGCATTCCCTTGAATGACTACAAGTTACTCGCATGCGATATACAACAGCTGCTGGTAGCAGTTGCAATTCATGCCTGCAGCTCCTCAGGTTCTCAATATTTTCGTGTTATTGAAGACCTCATGGTGCTGCTGGGTCATCTTCAAAATAGTAAAAATGCAAGGATGCAAAGTAAGTTATCTTCTTATTTTTGGGATCATGGGACTACTTCCCCACTGACTTTTGTTTAAATTCCTATTTCTGCTGAGGGAAAAGGGGGAGTTCTCTGGTGATAGATCTTCTTTCTCTTCTAAGTGGTTCTCAAAGTAATAGTTTTCTTCAGGAGCCTGCATTGTGATAAAGAACTGTGTATCCTGCTAATGTGAAAAAACAGTAATTGCAAAAGTTTGTTGTGTGGGGGTATTTAAATGGAAATGTTCTGTACAGTTTCACTTAGCTTGTTTTGGAGTAATCAAATTCAATGACTTTTCCATGAGAACTCAATTGTGTAGTGTCCGTATCTGTGGAATAGTGAGGTGACTTCTGTGAAATCAAGAGTCTTACAGCTCTTGACACTTTTTGTGTTCTTTTACTTGTTAAACATGTGGTAAAAATAGTTGAAGGATGTGTAAAGCATGTCATGTATGCTTTGTATGCTCCTCTTTATAGATATGGCAGTTGTTCTGCAGTTAAGAGTTCTTCAAGCAGCCATTGAATTAATAAAAACCACAGCAAACCAAGATGCTCAGGAGCAGGCCAGTTCAGCCCCATCACCTTCTGCACCACATCGTACAATGTTTCAAAAGCGTAAAGGTATTGCAGGTGAGTAGCAGAAGTGTAGCATTCTTGTACTTTCTTTTGTGTGTATTAGTTGATGATTAGTTGATTAGTTGATGATTCATTAATTCATGATGATATTACCTTCTTTTGGGATTCTCTTACATTCACAAGTTGCTTAGTAAAGATGTTTTTCAAGTAATTCCTGGTGGTTTTAATAACCAACCTCACAGTAAGGTAATGCTAAAATCAAGCTAGTCCATGTAACTAACATAGCTGTGATGTGGGGACTGCTTTGTTGCTCAACTTCTAAGTAGTGACCATCCTGAAATAAATACCTGCCACTCTAAATTTACAGTTGGAAATGCCACTGTGGCTGTGTTTGTAAAACCTTTGTGCAGTTCTAGCTGTAGCAGTAATACTTTCTCTGTATTTGATAGCTTGCCAGTCATTCTGTAAAGGTTTTGTAGTCTTCTGGCTGGAAATTGTTTTGTATGTTTCACATAAATGAAGCTACATTAAAGACTTCATAGAAGATATAATTTAAAAACCTGACAAATGCTTATCTCCTGTTCACTATGGGAATGTTTCTCTTAATTGTCAGCTTTTGAAAGCCCTCTCTATCAACCTGGTAAAGATAGTGAAAGTATTTTTATATTAGTGAATCTGGTAAGACACTAAAGATAAATAGAAATAGTTATTTCAAAAGAAGGAAGTACAGTCAAGGCCTGCCAGTTCATTTCAACAAAATTAAGAAGTACTCTTAGCTAAAAATTATACTTCTATTAGTGGCAATGGATATGGTACAAAATGTTTAAGTTGTTGATATATCTGACTCGTCAGTTGTGCTTCCCAATATGCAATATTTTGTTTTATCACTAATTTTTAATTCTTCATCGTAGTTATACAGTAAAAAGAGGAATAAAAGTAATGTTTTTGAATCTGTTTTACACAAAAATATGGAAGTTGTACAATAAAGCTGATCTTGAGACTATCTCATTTCATGGTATCACTTGAATTGTATATATTTTTAAATAGCTTTGAAAATTAAAACCAAGACAGGCACCCAATGGCACTTATGTAGCCTTTAATATTAATGTATTTCAAATGTTTTGATTCCTTAAATGATGTGAACTCTTTGGATGAAAGCAATTGCTGAGTGATTGAGTTTTTGTACATTTTCAGTAGAATTCTGTTCATACTTCTCTCCTTCAAGGCTCAAGGAAGTTTTCGCTTGCTCAGTCTGATGCTCTGCTGATGAAAATGCGCTCACTAGCAAGTGAGGAATTCAACATGATGATGCAGCGGAGAATGAGCCAAGAAAATCCTATCCAAGCCACTGAGCCTGAGTTTGCACAAAGGTTACAGAGGCTGACTGTTCTGGCTGTTAACAGGCTCATTTATTTAGGTAGGATTTCTTTTTGGGTTGTTTCTGTTTTCACAGAGCCAATGTAGTGCGATATATAAAAATGGATTCTTGCTGAAATGTTAGAGAGGACAGTCATATTATTGGCACAAATTTTATGGATTTAGCCACAAAGCATCATTCTCTGTGATTTGTCTCTCAGTATTATGTAACTGACAATCTGGATAATGTTTCTATCTGAATGAACTGAACAAGTTGTTTTATTTCTACATTAGTCCTTTCATGTGTTAACTGCCTCAATTATTACCTGAAGATTTAACTGCCAAAGGGAGCATCTGCTCTCTCAAAACACATCAGTTTGCATGTTTCTATGAAATGGCTGTATTTTTAGCAAGACATGATGACTTTGAGAGCTAGTTCAAATTCTGCAGAAGCAAGAGAGAGTAAGAATGGTAAATATAGCAGCAGTAAAGGCAGTATTTGATTTAATGCCAACTAAAGGATCATAGGATTGCCTTGCTTTGGATGGTACTGATCAATATGTACCTCTTAAATTTCAAGCATCTACCGAAGAATGCCTTGATGTACTGGGTATAACAGAAAACACGAGTCAAGGCAGACGTTCAGCATCCCAGCTGGAAGTTCCTGAAGAGGAAAGCCAACAAGAACTGCCTAGCAGAATAAACCCTTTTCTTAAAGAAATGGTCAAAATGTTGGTGGAAGGAGTCAAAGTATCCATTGTAAGTTGTCCACAGTAAAGCATATTTCATAAGGCTCATTTATTAGGAACTCTTCATGCGTAATGTATTCTGTCCATAAATGTTCTTCTTACTGCCTCTCCATTCAACTGTGGCATTGAAAACTCTCTTCAGCTTCCTAGTTATTCTGCAGTTGTAAAGTAATAAGTGGATCTGTTCTGAGCTTTACATTTAGCAAAATTTTTCTTATGGAACAAACACACGAAATTTAAATGGACTTCTGTGTACTCTATAAATTTGCTTGGTCTCCTAAACCTCAACATTTAAATTTGCTGGAGCCTATAAAACAAGATCTACTGTGCATCCACAGATGGTGGAGAATTTCTCTGAGCAATTTGTTTCTATAGTATGTTTTAGAGTTGGGAAGGAGAGCTTTTTTTCTTTCAATTCTTGGCAAAGGGCTGTGAGTTTTCTCTTCTAGCATACAGGTGTTAGCTTGTCAACCTTTCCAAAGTGATCAAGTTCTGCTTGGGTAATATGAAGTGAGTTTTTTGGAAAACTTATTCTTTCTTGCCTCTTTATTTCTCTTAGGTTGCCTTTATAAAAGTAGTTCTACCAAAGTTTCTTTCTAGTTCAGGAAAATGAGGTTCGATAGGTGTGTTATCTGTCCATTGTGCCATGCTTGTAGTACTTTTCAAAGATGTCAGATTTCTTTTTGTGAGCACAAGCACCTCAGTCCAATGCATGAATTCTAATCATTTGAGGTAATCCATTCAGAAACTAGGGATAAATGTAGAAGGGCTGTTCATTAAAACAAGCAATTAAAAAAACCCTTTGATTTTTAAACCCTCTACATCACAATTTTCACTTTCTGGATTGTTGTATAGTCCCTCTGACTAAATATCCAGTTTAGCTAGGAGTTGCATTCCTAATATTGACACAAAGAGACAAAGATCTATCTACCAAAATAAGTTTCATTTTAGTTATGTGAAAAACTTGGTAAAAGCAAACCCTAACCCGGTAATATTAAAAAGTTGTCCCTTTTACTTAGGGCACCAGCAGAATGACCACACCAAAACAGCAGTGGAAGAGAATTCTGTTGTCATGTAAGGACACATTCCGTACACAACTTGGGAGGCTTCTTGTGCACAGCTTGTCTCCAGGAAGGCCACTGCAAGAGAGAAAGCAGGCTTTGGAGATGGTACCTGAAGTAAACCATCAAGAGATTTTGCGTGACTGTCTTAGCCCAACTTTGCAAGTAAGCTCAAGATGTTTGAAAGAAGTCTCTAAAACCTATGTTCAGTTTTTTGTTTAAATTTAAAACTGTATGTGGCTAAAATTGTTCACTGCTGTTTTAGCAATATTTAGTGTAATGACAATTATGTTATATGAAGTGTGTTTGTATACTTCTGCAATTGCTGTATTATCCTGAGGATAGGCAGTTTTGTAAGAGGCAAGACCAGGATTAAGTCTGTGTATGTTGACTCTGTAGTTGACACTGCATCTCCTCTGCAGTGCAGAAACAAAGGCAGTACTAGTTTTAACTAGTTTTAACATCAAGGTACTAGTTTTAACGTGAAGGATTTTACTGAGGAAGCTAGAAGTTAAAGTACTACCCTACAAAAGCAGATTAAGGAAGGAATTATTCTTGCCTCGGAACTCCTTAACTGCAGACTTCCTGATACTTGTAAGAATTGATTGCAACTAGATTTTCCGAAGCAGTCAATCCTCCAACAAAGCAGTACTCTATCTTTTCTTACTTAGCATTTATTCTGAAAGTGGAATTGTATATTCCTTGTTCTTATGTCAAATAGCTGAATAGACTGTCCCTATCAAAAAAAAAACAACTTTTTTGATTGTACTCTGTCAGTGCAAGCTTGAAAGAACGCATTTCTTAGAGCTGTGGTCAGAAATTGGGTATGAATGTTGCTATTTGAGATCTTCAGGAGTGCAAGAATGAAATAAATTATTTAATATATGCCACAGTTTGAGTCCCTATATACTAAGGAGAGAAAGTATTTATTGGATTAACCTATGGCACTTACATGTTTCTGATCACATATACATTATTCAAATAAATTAACAATTTCATCAGGAAGAAAAGAGCTGATGTACTAGCAGGGACTTCTGTGGAGGAGTGTCTTGTTGAGGGCATTTATGACCTGTGTCTGTTTAACTTCATTATCTGTCAGCTCTAATTTGATTAATCAAATGAAGTGTGGCATTCTTGGCAGGCAAAATTAGAAGTCTCTGGCACATATTTCCTGAAGTATACACAAGGCTGCAGGAGCTGAGTTCTGGGAAAAGGAACTTGGCTTTCCTGCAAGCCATTTGAAACGTGACAAGATGCTGGGGCAAGTTTTATCATGTGAAGATTAAATTCAGCATGTTTTTCTAGTTTTATAAAAGTTTGTCTCTAACCATTAAAGCAACCATTTTCTTTGAATTAGAGAATAATTAGTAGAAGAAATCTGTGCAGTCTGACTACAAAAGGGAATAAAAGTGGAAGAAAAAAAACTGCTCAGTGTTGTATTGTGAAAATGAGTGACCATACATCTATATTCCCCTCTTCCCTTCTTTTCATCTTCTAGCATGGACCTAAATTAGTGCTCTATTTATATGAGTTAATGCACAATCACAGCGATGGAATGACCAAAGAACAACAAAGAGCAGTGGTAGACTTCATGAATACATTGAAAAGTTGTGGCTATAAATGCATTCCCCTGAGCCCACGACCAAAACCAGATTTATTAAAAGCTTTGAAAGAGGTTTGTGAATAAAAATTTTGCTTTAAAAACTGGGTATATTTAAGACAATTGTCTCTTATATGGGGTCAGAGTTTAACTGCAGACAGTGGTTTTCTTTGGTGCATGGCTTATGCTTTTGGGAATTCTCTTTGGGTTCTAAATATTTCTATCACATATACTCAACACTTCACAGTAAGCTCACAAGCTTCTTGACCAAACATATTACTTAACCCAGGCAAAGATGGGAGTTCATAATAAGCTACTAGTATCTCTCATTGTCAAGAATTTTTATGATTTCTTGCAAAACGAAAAATTATATTTAAATATAATAAAATGGCAGTAACTGAAATGAAGCTTTGGTGGTTTTAAATGCTGTGAAGATACCAGCTGAACAGTTTTGTCAGTCTTCCTTTTTTTGAATTGGCATATCCTTTAGTCTCTCCTTCCTTTTTTCATCCATCTGAAAAAAAGAAAGTAATGTATGAAACTTCCATTCAGGATCAGAAGAAATATGAGATGGAAGAAGGTGTAAACAAAGCTGCTTGGGAGAAGACAATGGCTAATAATCAGCAGAAGTAAGTACCTCCTTAAAGGGGCTGCAAAAACTCCCTCTGATGTTCTGTGTTCGGCACTTCCCATTGCAAAGTTGCCTGTATGATTATTATCGATGTTTTTTTTCAAATTAGCAACAACACTGGCTTTCAGATTTTTAATTTTACTGTTATATATAGGTATATACATTTTCATAGAATCATAGAATCAGCTGAGTTGGAAGGGACCTCTGAGATCAAGTCCAACCCTTGATCCAACACCACTTTGGTTGCTAGACCATGGCACTAAGTGCCACATCCAGTCTCATCTTAAAAACCTCCAGTGACAGAATCTACCACTTCCCTGGGCAACCCATTTCAGTGCCTGATTACCCCCTCTGTAAAGAATTCCTTCCTAATATCTAACCTAAACCTCTCCTGGCAGAGCTTAAGATAGGTTGTATAATAAATGATATTGTGTGAACCTCAGAATACCAAATTGGTTTGTTACAGCTTTGGCATTTCACCCTTAATTTTATGGCTGTTGTATCTGTCCAATCACCTCTGCTGTTGCCATAGTCTGTGCAATTAAATGTCCCTACAACTGATCCCAATCTTCAATGAATAAAATATTATATTCAGCAGACTATTTGAATACTTTTGTGAGCTATGTAGACTGCTGCTACTTGGTGTAATGTAAATTTCAGTATCTTGTGGTAGATCTAAGAGTTCTTTCTATTAATTTACATTTCAGGCTATGCCATAAAAATCAGATTTGAGATGCACACACAATGTGCTTTAATGTAGGCAGCTGTAGTAGCTGTAAAGGTCAGCTCAGTCAAGTCCATGCAGACAAGCATTAAGACTTCATGTCGAATGACTTAGGAGATTTAATCAGTGGTAAATTACTGTCCTTACTCCAGATTTTTATTGTAATGAGTATACATGAATTAGTAAAGCATGCTAATATATAGTCATTGATCTTCTGACTGGCTTATCTTGTTTTAGGCCACAAGTCAGAGGTTTTTTGATGGCTAAGAAGCAGAAAGTGTTCATGCATCTCATTACATAGGCTAAGTTGCTCTGCCTCTGATGTAACAAGAACTGTGGATAATAACTGCCAAACTGATTGTATTTTATAAGGCATTTTAGTGTTTTGCCTTGCTTTTTCAGTGTGTTTATTTCACATTTTAAAATACAACTGTTCCTCAGTCTCTTTCAACGTCTAGATACAAAATCTAAAGACATTTCTAAAATAGCTGGAGACATCACACAAGCTGTGTCTCTGTCACAAGGAATGGAAAGGAAGAAAGTAATCCAGCACATCAGGGGGATGTATAAGGCAGAGCTAAGTGCCAGCAGACATTGGCAGGAACTTGTTCAGCAGCTTACCCATGATCGGTAAGTTTCTTCATCTCAGTGAAAAAGAAAGAGAGACTCAATGCCTGATGTGTGCTTCTCATTCTACTTAAAGGCATGTGAAATGTAGGTGATATTAAAATTAGAATTACTTTTGCTAATTATCTGATGGTTAAAAACTTGAAAGATACTTGATTTTATGGTGAGCAGCTGAGTAGCCGAGTAGTATTTCTATGCCATTTAGACAGGCTGTTTTGTCAGATATATTTTGCTGTGTCTGATGCAATGAAGAGTGTCCTAAAGTTTTCATGTCTTGCATTACGTAGATGGAGTAAAAAAATATTTTTTTGCTAATGTTCTTCACACTAGCATCTAGATACTCTTGTTCCACGTGGATTAGTGAAAAAAGATGCTAAGTTTTAACAAAAAACCAAACTATGGTATTTTCATCATTGCAGAACTAGTATTATGTCATGTTTATAGTGTTGGATGCATTGTATTGCTGTTTTTGTCAGAATTTATAGCTTCAAGGACAGGCTTACAGTAGTAGCTTGTAAGAAGTCAGTCAGTGGAATAGCTCATGAAAATAAACTGAGTCTTTTGATACTTCTTCCAGAAATAATTGCCCAGTGTACTACTGTGCAACTTCTGCCTTTCTACTAGTTAAAGAACAGAATGAATAAGCATGTATAGTGCCTCTCCTGTCAAACTCTTAACACTTTTTTTCACAGAGCACTCTGGTATGACCCAGTCTATTACCCAACTTCTTGGCAACTGGATCCAACAGAAGGCCCAAACAGAGAGAGGCGCCGCTTGCAGAGGTGCTACCTAACTATTCCAAACAAGTACCTTCTCCCAGACAGGCAGAAACAGGAAGGTAATTATAACACCTTCTAGGAGCATATCTGAATTGTAATGACTTTTAGTGCCTTATTTGTGATTTCTTTATAGGTGTGATAAAAACTCCATTGTCTTACCTATTTGAAGACAAAACACATTCTTCTCACTCCTCTACTGTAAAGGACAAAGCTGCAAGTGAGCATATAAGGTAAGGTTTGGATAACACTTACCTCCTTTTCCTGCCTTCTACCAATCCAATGTAATAGTTGTCACTTTTTTTGTCTAAATAATTATTTAAAAAAAATTAGGTGAGAAATGAGATGTCAAAAATAGTAGGCTTTCTGCTATACTAAAAAGCAAAAGACTAGAGCTACCAAATACCAACTAGTGTGATATGCAGATGGTCCTTTTGTGAGATAACCTGGTGGCATATCTTAACTTATTTGTCGCTTAGTAGCACTGCCTGCCTTCCGTATCTAAGATCTGGTAGGTCTTTCCATTAGTGTTCAAAAGCAAATTGTGTTTTCATCCTGTCTTGCTTTTACCATTGTGTTACTCAGCTCTGCAGTTGTGTCAATTTGCCACCTGTTACAGGCCTACAGCCTAAAAGAACTGCAGAGAGCACACAAAGAAATAAGTCCAAATTCACTAATGTCCAAGTCTAGAAAGCTGAAGTTCTGTTTTCTTTCCCTCTTTGGGATTTGAACCATTAGAGTCATGGTGTTGAACAGTTTTTCTTCAGCTGCAGCCTTTGAGGCTTGTTAGTTTTAGGTGTGTAGTGAAAGGTGCATAAATCCCTAAGCAATAATGTACTTCGAAATATTTCAGAGTTAATCGAAGATGTATAAGCGTGGCACCTTCTAGAGAGACTGCTGGTGAACTGTTGTTAGGTAAGTAGAATTTTCAGTCTTCATAAATACATTTTTGGTGTAAGATTCTGTTGTATATATAAAGCTGGCTAATATTTTTAATTAAATGAGTTGTTGCCTGACTTCTTACAGATTATATACTTTATAGATCAATTTTGCTTTTCTTCTCTACTGTTTGCATGAGTTCTGTTTGGACTGCTGTTAATTTTTAAGATTGCAGACCACTTGCTGAAAGACAATTATATTTCTGTCAAGTACTGTCTTGTCAAGTACTTATATTTCTGTCAAGTACTATTCTTAGTATTCTTAACTGCTGGATACTGTTTATATAACCCTAAGATGCATTATACTAATAGTAATATCATGTACCTTTGTGCAACTATTTTTTGCTACAGGAAAATGTGGCATGTATTTTGTTGAAGATAATGCTTCAGACACAATTGAAAATTCGGTAAGTGTTAGAGCTCGTTGTCCAGCTTTAGTTTTTCCAAACTAGAACCACACGGAGCTTTTGTCTACTGCCACTGAGATTTCTGGAGTACTAGAGTTAGAGATCTCTGGACAAACCAAACCGATTAGTTTGGTTTCAGTGTTGCTTCTTTTCCCCTGGCTGGAATCAGTGGTGATAGGAGAAAACAGGAAAGATGTGGGCCTGGATCTAGGAGGGAATGATGAAGGGATGATGTGGGGAGGCTTCTGCACCTTACAGTCCATTGCTCTGAGTTCATCAGCATAAGTGCACAGAGTTTGCTTTGATCTGCACCTGAGGTAACTTGCCTTAGTGGAAGCTGGAGCACTAGGAAGTACTTCACAGCATCTGATTCCTTAATGTTATGTTTTATAGGATGTTCTAGCTTCTCCTTTAATCTATACAAGAGTATTGTTTCATGGAGGAAACTGGAGCTGACCTAATCCTTCTGATATACAAAGACTTGTATGTTAAAATTACTTGTACATCCAACAGATATTTAAAAATAATTGAGATATGGGATATACTACTGAAAGCTTTAAGCTGTTTTTACAGACCTCTCCTTGCATCTCCTAAACACACAGATCCTGTGGTTTAAGAAGCTACCAGCTGTTTTGCTGCTTTGTCTTTCACAGAACTGTCAGAATTGGGATTCATGATAAAGCTATGCTTGCTCTGGCTGTCCAGTATCTCAGCTTAAGTGCCAGTAAAAATATGGCATTGCTTGCCAGTGTTAGATAGGGAACTGGAACAGCTGAGGAGCATGCATGATGTTCTGCCCACTGCCTTGAGGAGAGTGGAGGATGAGGAAAGTAGATGAGCAAAATCGCAACATTGTCTTAAAGCATCGCAGAAAAATTACAGTTTGCTTTATGATCTGCTGTATGGTTATAGACTGACTGCATTGAAGGGTTTCTTGTTAGGAAAATCTGCTATTTAAAATTTTTTAATTGCAAATTCTGCAGAGTTTTCATGGAGAAACTGAACCAGCATCATTTTCTTGGACATATGAGGAAATTAAGGAAGTTCATAAGCGCTGGTGGCAGTTAAGAGATAATGCTGTGGAAATATTTCTTACAAATGGCAGAACTCTACTTTTGGCTTTTGATAATACAAAGGTAATGTGGCACCAATGCATAGTAATATATCAAAGGGTTTTACTGTGTCTTTGTAACATGTATATTCATGCCTTAGTTTTTAAGGAGACCTGTTGCATGGACTAACTAAATTCTGCATAATAGCTTTGAAAGAACTTGGCTCAGCTAGACTTCTAGACAATCACAGGCATGTTGTAAAACACATCTCTGGTATATTACGACATTAAAGAATCTTAGTAATACTAAACATTATTCCATTACAACAGATATGAGAGAATCTGTAAAATCAGGGAAACTGATGAAATCTTGGTAATTTGAGGCTTTTAAAATTGTATGATTAAATTGATGGTATTTTCTTCTAGGTCCGTGATGATGTGTACCACAACATCTTAACTAACAATTTGCCTAACCTTTTGGAATATGGAAACATTACTGCTTTGACCCACCTGTGGTGCACAGGACAGATTACTAACTTTGAATATCTGACTCATTTAAACAAACATGCGGGCCGTTCCTTCAATGATCTCATGCAATATCCAGTATTTCCTTTTATACTTTCTGACTACACCAATGAAACACTGGACCTAAATGATCCATCAGTATATAGGTAATGTGAAATGTTTGGAATTGTTTATTTCCAAATACTTGAACTGATCGTCCTGTATAGCTTTTTAACTTCATTGCACTAAACTGCACACATACATGAATGGAACTATTCAGGGACAAGCCTCATCCGTAACAACTTGGGCTTTTTACAATAAGTGGCTGTTTCACCTTGGATATTGAGATAAAATGGGTGTGTAGATTCAAATGCAATGTATTGGACTTACACTGTCTTAATAGGATATGTGTAGTCCACAGATTTAAATAAAGGCTGTATGTTTCAATTCATATGATTTAAGAATTCCAGGCCAACTAGCAAAAATTAAATAGAAAAGGAAATAATCTTGTAAATTACTTGGCCAGGTACTTTTGATTACAAAATCATAGTCTTCATTGTGAATGGATCTGAGCGAATTGTCCCACCCTAATAAATTTTTGTTAAGTTGATTAACATTTGTGTGCACTAAGTCTTTGTCTTTATAGGATGCTTCTGGGTTAACAGAGGCACTTGGCATTTTCTTGCCTGTTAGTGTGCTGTGGATCTGAGTTTGTCTTTAGCACTAAATAAAAGTGGCTTTTTTATTTTCTGTGCTGTCTTGGAAAGTGTTATTAAGTTTCCTAATCCTTTTCATGATATTAAAGGTGTTATTCTTAATAATGCACTATTAAATGGTGTGAATCGATATTGTTATAAAAATTACAAGATATCTGTACTACTTCTGTTGCAGAAATCTGGTCAAACCAATAGCTGTGCAGTCCAAAGAAAAAGAGGATCGTTATGTGGATACATACAAGGTAATTTGGATAACTTTTGCTCTTGCCTTTGTCCTGTGTATGGTGGCTTTAGTTTTTTTAACCTATATTGATGGCGGAAAAAGAAACTACAAATCTAGGATTTCATGTCTACAGAATTCTTATTTCCAGTATATTTTCCAGGAAACATTTCCTGGAAATTGTTTTATAACATGCTTGGAAGTTGTGTTTATTCCTGTAACTGCAGTCATTAATGAATTTAGTCTTTCCGTGTGATACTGCTGAGGAATTTAATACCTTACACATATGACCATGCATATATTTAAAGATCCCTAAAGATCAGGAGGATAACTTGCTGCTGTTTATTTGAAATTACCTCAGTGGAGCTTGTAGCTATTTGTTCTGTTTGATAACAGGAAAGCTGTTTTCCCTCAAGTACTGTTATTTTAACATGCCTTACTATGATTGTAGTGCTTTTTGATTTTTTTTTTTCTCTTTAGAATGTTTTAAAGGCTTTAGGAAAAAGTAACATGCTGAGGAATGAAAGTATCTGCAACTGGACTTTCAAACTTATGTCTGTCACCACAGTCTAGTGTATTATTTGCAAATACTGTTTTTTCCATTTAGTATTGAAAAGCCTATACAATGACTCTGCTGTATTAGAAAACAAGAGGCAGGGCAGTGGGGAAAAGCAGAAGTAATAAATAATGGAAAATAGGTCATTTGAATTGGCTAAAGGCTGATATGTAACTGGATTGTAAAAGAGACCATGTCTTTTGACACTTAAAAGTATATTTTATTCAAAATCACTTTTAAATGTATGTTTCTGTAAAATTTTTATGGTTTACTCCTAAACAATTTAAGCAAGCTCTTTTTTTATCAAAGTAGGAGGTTTGTGATTTTTTTCTTTTCTCTACTATTTTTCTAGTACTTGGAAGAAGAATACCGTAAAGGAGCACGGGAGGATGATCCAATGCCCCCTGTACAACCATATCACTACGGATCTCATTATTCCAACAGCGGAACTGTGCTTCATTTCCTAGTTAGGCTGCCACCTTTTACTAAAATGTTTTTAGCTTATCAAGGTAAGGTTATGTTTGCTTGCACTTGCCTTTCACATCTGGGCCCTGTTCCAATGACCCAGGAATACTATACGTTACCCTATTCAGCATAGTTTTTCAATTCCAAATAACTGCGTTTTATAAAATTAAATCTGGTATGCTTTAACAGTAGACCCATTCTTGAAATTATCAAGCTGGACCATAAAGCTGTACATCTTACATTTATACCTTAGTTTCTGTAGCATAAAAAGCTGACCTATATTTGACTTGCAGTCCATGTGTAACACATAGTAATTGCGATAAAAGAATTCTAAATGTTCTCAGCTAACTGGAGAGCAGCTAACTACTTGAAGTTGCAGATAAGCAACTGTTAGTGTCCAGCATCGATGTAACAAATTCAGTTTGAATTTCTTTACAGATCAAAGTTTTGACATCCCAGACAGAACTTTTCACTCTACCAATACAACCTGGCGACTCTCTTCGTATGAATCAATGACTGACGTGAAGGAGCTTATACCAGAATTTTTCTACCTTCCCGACTTTCTAGTTAACAGAGAAGGTATACTAAAAGGACAACAAAACTGTATACCCAAAACAGTTGTATAATTGAGCCTATGGGTTGAAACTGAGAACATTTATATCCCTTGGTTGAATATGCTAAGCAGTAGATGTATGGGAGAAATTTGTGGATATGCTAAAAAAGCTGTTATGTAGGACTTAAGTGAAGTTTTTCCATAATTATGTCAGCGGGGCCAGGGAGTTTCCCATTTTCTGATTTTTCCATTTAAATGAGTATGTACAGCTTGAATGTGTTTTGGAGAGACTTGTTAATGATGCTGCTTTGTTGATCAGCAATCATTGTGCTTAATGGTTTACTTTCATAGAACCCTATAAAGACCTTTCTGAAGTTACTGTCACCTAAAGTGTTGGAATATTCATTCCCCTCTTTCTAGGTTTTGATTTTGGAGTACGTCAAAATGGTGACAGAGTTAACCATGTCAATCTTCCACCCTGGGCTCGTAATGATCCTCGTCTATTCATCTTGATTCATCGTCAGGCTTTGGAGTCTGACCATGTTTCCCAGACAATCTGTCACTGGATTGACTTGGTGTTTGGTTATAAGCAAAAAGGCAAGGCCTCTGTTCAGGCTATTAACGTCTTTCATCCTGCAGTAAGTATTTGTTAAGCTGTGTGTTTGTTCATTGCCCTTAGTAACTTAATGGGAGAAAGTTCAGTCTGACTTGCTTGGAAAACATGCAACATGAAGCAAGATCCCTCTCTCATGAAATGTTGAAGAATAAGGAAAGGCTTTAACTGTTTCAATGTGGAACTGATAAGATCCCAGGGAGTGTTATGAGACTTGGTGAATTTGTGTTCCTCTTTCTTGCCTTGAGCTAGGCATGGGGAGTGATCGAGTTGTGGGTTTAGACTTTCTGGATAGTTGTTTGCAGTGTCTTGTAGTGGTATACAGGTGCTACTGTGTTTGTGTGTATCTGCTTCCATCTCATTCAAAAGCTTTTCATTTAGACAGATGGTGCTGCAGCTTTTGATATGATTAAAATAGTTCCCTTTGTCCTAAGCTCATTATTTGTGTTCTTTCCTTCATATATACCTTGTGTTCATATACACCTCTGTCCCTCTTATGAGCCCTTTTCCCTACAGTAAACTCAATTTCAAATAAGTCTTCATTTAAAGATTTTCAGAATTTCACTACTTAATTGTAACATGGAGGTCTTGAATTATATTCTTTAGCTTTAATCCTTACTATCACAAGGTTAGCTCAACCAGGTAGTCCTCGTTTTAAAATGCATTCAAATGTGTTCCATGTTTCTAGTGTTTGTTCTGTATTTGAAAAAGCTAATAAAACACTAGTGTTTTGCTTATAAAAAGCTAATAAAACAGTAGTGGGGGCTTTTTCAAGTAACCATTCAAATGCTTTTCTTCCTTTTTTCCTCTTTTTGTGCTTAAGTTTTGACTTAGTACCATAAATTTCAAATATTAAGTTTGCGTGTTCATTGTTTTTTAAAGTAAAAAGTCAAGGGCTTTGTCAGCATGACTGAGGAAGAGTGTGTGGTACACAGCTAGAGAGGCATAAAAAAAAAGTAGAAGAAGGAAATGATTTCCAGTCTCTAGAAATTTGAGGTTTCTTTTACACTCTCTATCCCAAAACAAAGCTTTATTTTTTATTTACTCTTTAAAAAGAGGTACAGATAACACTCTTCTAATTTCTTATTTATTAACAGGAACCTGTCTGTTTTTACACAGATTCATAAAGGTCTCAAAAAAACACTTTGACAGAAATTAGTCATGGCATATATGTAGGAGCAGCTCACATGATAAATCTTGAAGTGATAGTTATTTCCAGTAAAGATGCTGTGATGAGGTTACTGTTTTCAGTGGCTCTTTAGTCAGCACAGCCATTGTGGGATGGCTTCTGGTCCAAGTCTTAAACAACTAAAGAGTTTGCCTCTGAATTTGTGTGTGTGTGTTGCAAAATCTTTCCCAAAGATAAACCTGACAAGCTTATTCTTACCCTTCCCCTTTTTTGTTCCCCCTTCTCTAGACCTATTTTGGGATGGATGTTTCTGCTGTTGAAGATCCTGTTCAGAGGAGAGCCCTTGAAACAATGATAAAAACGTATGGGCAAACACCTCGTCAGCTGTTCCATGCAGCACATGTTAGTAGACCTGGATCCAGACTTATCATGGAAGGAGAACTTCCTGCTGCCATGGGATTACTAGTGCAATTTGCTTTCAGAGAAACCAGAGAACACACTAAAGAAATAATCTATCCAGTATGTAATTTTGACTTGCAAGATAGTTTAATATTCATATGCTTGTAATTGTTGTACCCTTGATTTACAGTTTCCTTCCTAAAACTACAACTTGTTACCTATATTGTACTGTAAAAAAAATACACAAAATTAATAAGTGATTAGTAAATGAAAATTATTTTCATGCATTTGTGATGTATTTTGTGTCAAACTAAGATCTGAGTTTATTTTGGTTATGGAAAAAAGGTATTGGAAAGCATTTCACTTAACCAGTTTTATACTTTCAGTGATGAATCCTGTAATCTGTATGCAGACCTATAGTAGGCAAACACATACTGTGCTTTCTGCCATTCTCTGCTTTTTTACTGCCTGTAGGACAATTAAACTTTCTTTGCTTCAAATACTTGTTTTCCCTAAAGTCCACTGAGAAGCTGAATCCTTGCATTTAGAGAAATCTGTATTTTTCACTAAACTGCCTGAAATACAAGCTTGCTATCTCTGCCCTTACAGAAGTAGCAGTACTCCCTTAAAGTAGAGAGTTTGGGTGATGGTACTGCAGTGCTTTGAACTTGACTTTCTAATATTTTTAGAATACTTCAGCTATTCTAACCATACGATTGCTTATGGGAAAGTGATATAAATCATTCTTCAGTACTAATGAAATAATATTTTTCTGAAAATTCTTTAATTTGAACCTTATCTGTGCTTGTTTTAGAGTCCATTACCATGGATAAAAGGCTTAAAGTGGGGAGAATATGTTGGTTCCCCAAGTGCTCCAGACCCAGTTGTCTGCTTTAGCCAACCACATGGAGAAAGGTTTGGCTCTCTCCAGGCTTTACCAACTAAAGCTATCTGTGGTTTGTCCAGCAAGTTTTGCCTATTGATGATATATAGCAAGGAACAAGGTACGAATTTGTGCTTATACTCTATATGCACAATACATGTGAAATGAGTAATTAAATAATTAAATCTAATGCTACTATTGCTTTCCAGCAAACTTCCAGAATTTAGTTGCTTGTGCCAAAGATGGATTTATAAATCCATTAACAGTTTCCATGTGTGTGGTGTCTTTCCTGGAGAGTGTATTTTCAATACTACAGTAGAGGCATTCTATAATTAAGTTAATATTTTCCATTAAAGTGAGTGAAGCATGAGGATTTAACTTTAGAACTTGCCAGCAGATTGAGTCCAAGAACTGAAAAACAGATGAAAAACCACATGTGGCAACAGGAAGGAAAATTTAAGGCATGTTTTTTAGAGGCAGAGAATGAGGAAAATTATCAGTGAAAAAGCAGAGGTGAAGGATGATCTGCTTTCGGACAAACTTCTCAGAGGGATTCCTATTGATAATGTACAAACAGGTTCTCATAACCTCTTTTATATTTATGGTAATGTGTACTAGTGAAGGTTTTTTAAAAACAGTTGGCTTCACATTTAGTCAACAAAAGTAACATTCTTCTTGAAGTTATTAGCAATAATTTCTGTAGCTGGGAAGTACTGTCAGCCTCCTTTTCTCCACTCTCAAGATGTGCAGCACTTCAAAAAAGCATTGTCCAGGTTGCAAACTGTCTTTGGAGAAGACTGAATGTTTATAGAGTCTCTGAAAAGTCTATTTGTTTATAATACATTACAGATTACATAGCCTAAGAGAGAGTATCTTATTTTGAAACTTTGAGGTTTTTTTATATTCTAGCTCGAGATAAAACATGAATCTGGGATTTTTATTGTTGACTATTAAAGTGGTCAAGTCTGGTTGCATATATGACACAATATTATATGTCTTCCTTCAGGTGTGAGAAGCATGCACAGTACTGACATTCAGTGGTCAGCTATCCTGAGCTGGGGATATGCTGATAATATTTTACGACTGAAAAGCAAGCAAAGTGAACCTCCAGTAAATTTTATACAGAGTTCACAACTCCATCAGGTAAAAAAAAAAAATCAGTCTCTTAGTCTTTGATTTAACGTTGGTGGTTTAAGTGGTGACTCCACTGTATCTTGTTCCTGGGTGTTTTCCTGTACTAGGTAAAGATTCCTTTTGAATGCATTTGATTTTCATAGCTTTTCCTTCCTATGGAATATTGTTGTGGATTTTAAAAAGTTGTGTACCAGGAAAAACTAATACTGAAAAAAATCAGAGATGCCTCATGTTAGAAGCAGAACTCCTCTATAGCTTAGGATTCATCTGAAAAAGATTTTTTAAAAGATTGTTAGGGAACATTGCATAAACTCTGTCACACTTCAGTGATTGGTGAGATTCTGCCAAAATGTTTTTGGCTGATGTGGCTGTAGATCTAGAAGTCTGCCCTAGTTCACTGCTCGCTAGTGGTGAATTCCAGGCTAAATAAGATTTTTCTCTTTGGTTTCTAAAGTAATAACAAATATAACCTAGAGCAGCTATATTTTAACTCTTGGATTTCTTTAACTTAGGTATTTTACATGGCTTTTCTTAGGATAACCAATAAAGAATCAGTTTGACCAAATGCTATGGCATAATGAAAACAGCAGTTAGAATAGTTTCTGCTCTAACTTTTCCTGGCTTTGTTTTGTATTTTCAAGGTAACAAGTTGTGCTTGGGTGCCAGACAGTTGTCAGCTGTTCACAGGTAGTAAGTCTGGTGTCATCACAGCATATATGAACAGATTCACTAGCAGTACGGTAAGTTACACTGCATAAAATTTATATTAAAGGATTTAGGTGTGTTTGCTATTGGTCTTTTTTTAAATAGGAAAAGTGAGAAAAGGGGCCTGGCTTATATTCTGGACAATTGCTAAAAAAAATCATGTGCTTTCTTTGTATGTATTTTTGATGGATCCTCTTTGATATCTCAGCATGTTTGTGTGCTTTTCTTAAGCTCTTGTTCACATACTGCTGGCCTTTAATCAGCCCTCATCATCTGAGTGAATAACTGGTTACATACACAACTCTGACTATATTCATTTCAGGACTTGAAATTGAAGCTTTCTGGCACAATAAAGCTCCCTGCATTAAGGAGTAATTTTTTCTGTGAAGGAGACAGCCTTTTCATGCCTTAACTGAAACTTTGGAATGCAATTCCCCAAAGTAAATAACAATTCAAATGCAGAAGGCACTTATACTACAGAGAGCCAGGATGAAATCTCAGACACTGTTTATATTAACCACCAAGCCTCTTTACTTTGTCATATTCTCCAAGGGGAAAAGCTGTGAGGAGGGAAGGCAGAATGTATCTTGCATTACTTAATGTGTTAGTGGAAAATACTGAGACTACTAGAAATTCCCTTGATACTGTTTGCTAATAAGCATGATATGAAAGCATAAATAGAACTCAATCATCTGATTTTTGACTGAGTTTCTAAGCTTCTGTCTTTCTTTAGCAGTAACTTCTATTCTTCGTAGTTTTAACAGAGAGTATACAACTTTCCTAACAGCTCATTTTAGGTGTGTCTGCAGGATTACCCATAGCAACAAATGAACTAAGCTGATTTCTCAAATTTAGCTTGATACAGATATTGGCAAATTTACCACATTTGTGGTATTGTACTCCTTAGTGCTCTTGAATTACTGCACTAGCATGAGCTGGAGAGAACCTTGGTATGATCTGCTATGCCTACCCAGTTTTCTCTTTTCACTAGTGGCAAACAGCAGATGCTTAGACTAGGAAGAGCACAAACACAGGAATTTATTTCTTTTCCTTGGCTTTCCTCCAGTTTCTGGTGATCTGTCACTCAGATTTCCTGAGTTCAGCAGCACTTACAGTGTAAAAAATGAAGTAGAGCTTGAAGCCTGCAAATTTCAGTCGGTTTGATCTTAAGTCAGACACCTTAGCTGCTCACAAGAATAGTCAGCTTGTAAATAACCTCTACTGAGACTTTCAATTCCAGCTAAAATTTTTAAAAATACAAATGCAGTGTACTTGCCTTCTGCAAAGCTGAAAAGGAACTCCAGTTAATGGGGTTACGATTCTTCAGTTCCTTCTATTTCCTAAAAACAACTGACTTTTGTTCAGCTGTACAAATGTTATTGTCTTTGAGACTATCTTTGCTGAATTTCTCAGCACTGACAGTTTTACATGCCCCAGGCAGACTGACCTTGTGCCAATTTTATAGGAATCAGTTGAGTCAGTTACCCAAGTCAGGGCTGCAGGGAATGCAAATGTGCTTCCTAGCATCTGCTCTGTATCCATCTGTCAGCTGATCAGTGGTGAAATGAACAGTCTGTTATAAAGCAGTACTTAAAATGTGACTATTTTGCCCTGTTTCACATTTGTATAAATGCAATGCATAGGCATAAAGCAGATACTATGTTGTTAATTGGATATAGGAATTCAAAGGCATGCAATCAGAATTCAAAAATGGCTCCACAATATGCTTTACATGCTCTGTTTTTCCTGGCCTTTATGATGGTCAAAAACCAATGAGGTACTGCTTTGAAACTGTGATCCCTGTTGGTAATGTCATACCTTCAAGAAAACCTTGGTCACAGGTTTCTGGTTGTATGTATTACTCCAGCCTTCACTTGCTGACTGTTAGGGTTGTCTTGCAAACAAAGCACTTTCATGATCTGTTTGAGTAAAACTGGTAAGGAATCATTTAAATTTTCCACTCAAGTGCTGCAGGCAGTCATTTAGGGCAACCAACAGAAAGAACTGATATTTAAAGGTAGATATATATGTGCATGTTTTCCCACATCTAGATATTGTTTTAGGGGTTGTCATCTAAAAGCAGGTGGTAAGTAAAAACGGGACATTGCTTCAGGCATGAGATAACTATTTCATAACTTTTTAGAACTTTAAACCAATTGTATTAAGTTGTATTAAAATTCCACCTTATCTCATTGCAAAGAAGATCAATAAACTGTTGCTATTAGTACTGAAGAGAGAAGCTGCTAAAGGTGAAGGCTGCTTTTGGTTCAAGTGTTGAAAGACAGATCAATAACATCACTTATAGGAGATGGGAGGAGCACAGTAGAAGGGTTATCAAAATCAGTTCTTCATAAAATCACAAGTCTTATTTGTTGCTGTTATGGAAAATTTTGGTATATTTTTTTTCTCTAAACTGAGCAAGGATTTAAGAAGGATTTTTATATGTGAGGTGCCACACTGTTCTGAGAATGACAGCTGGATACTTTCATAAATGTCTTACTTAGATGCTCAGTAACAAGAGCAAACTAGCAGGTCTTCCTGTAGTCAAAGTTTATTACCTTTTCCAGTGTTACATAGATTATATTGTCCCTGTTAGTGCAGAAAGACATGCAGATTTTCTACAACCTGTGAGTTGAGCATATGTGTACTTTTCTCTCCTGTTTCAACTTTCAAGTTTGTTTTTTTTGTAGAACTGCTGTATGCATCCTGTACCCTCATAGAAAAATGCAGATGATGTGCTCTGACACATGAGAAAAGAAGCAGAAAAATGTTCTGTTCTTTTACAAAGATTATTCTAATCCCTGTACAGCAAGTTGTCTTAAATAAAGCATTAGTATTCTGATTAAGCAGCTCCTTGAATTTAGCCAGTTTTCAGGAAGTCTGAATCATTTAAAATTATATAAGTCAAATAAGAAGTGTTGTTTGGTGTTAAATTTTGCTGCTTTGATTTTTATTAAAGTGCTAACACACTTTCTAGATTTACACTTGACTTCCTGCATGTTTTTCCAACTTGTTGTCACTGAAGAACTTGGCACCAACTTGAGAAGTTCCTAGTAATTTACTGTATGGAGAATGACAACTTCTGAGCTAGGTTTTCCTTTACATTTCTAAGTGGTTCCATGAGATGCTAAAATACTGAGAACTGTTGTTTCACTGTCGTGTGGAAATAGCAGTCTTGCAGAAAACAAATCAGCTAATTTCAAGGTGTGTAATAGAGACAGAAGTACTGTAGTCTTCATTTCATTGGATCACATCAAAATGTTTGCTTAGACTACAGCACTCGAAGCAAAAAGTTGAACATTAATGATATCTGTCTTACTGTATTGTAAGGCATTAAACATAATAAAGCATTAACAGCAGTTGCTAAACTGATGATATCCACTTTTTGAAATCCAAGAATTAAACTTGTTCCTAGGCTTATCTTTTTCAGAAAGAGACATTAATTTTCTTTTTCATGAGAGTTCCTGTTTTGTCTTGCTGTTTTTCAGCCTTCGGAGATAGAAATGGAGTCGCAAGTCCATCTCTATGGACACACAGCAGAAATAACAAGCTTGTTTGTGTGCAAACCATACAGTATAATGATAAGTGTCAGCAAAGATGGAACCTGCATAATATGGGATTTGAACAGGTACAAGTATATATGTAACTCTTTCCACTAGCTTTCTTATAAGTACTGGCTTTCCAACTTTTGAGTATCTTTGCCCTTTTAAAGCTAAATTAATTTGTTATGTGAAGTCAAACCCTTACTGTTTTTTCCCATGGAGGGCTGAAATTCTACAGTGAATATGAAAAATACCAGAATTGAAATTAATATAGCTTTTTTTAATATTTTCCTCTAAGAACCTATTTTGTGTGTGAGTCTGAACTTTAGGCTTGTTCCCTTTGTTTTCTTCAGGCTGTGCTATGTCCAGAGTCTGGCTGGACACAAGAGTCCTGTGACTGCAGTTTCAGCTAGTGAAACAACTGGTGATATTGCAACAGTTTGTGATTCAGGTATATTTGTCAGTCAAGAAAGCTGTTTTGACTTACAAACCAAATAAACCATGACACTTTTGTTATTAAATTAGCTACTGAGTGTGTATTAATCATGGATGCATTGGGTCAAATAGAAGCAATGTTTTGCTTTTTTCACATAGTAACATAGAAATTGCTTCACAAATGATTAGGCAGGAGTTTGAGTACAATGTAGAGATACAAAGGCTAGCTAATAGCTTGATCTCTTCATAGGAGACTTGAAATTTCAGTAGATTCCTGGGAGACCTACATTCTGTGAAGTTGACTGCTTTCATTTTAATAGAGGTTTGTTGTCAAAGGAACAGGTCTTCAGTGGAGGGCAGTGTATTACAGAGCACAGGCAAAGGGTATTAAAGGACAAGGGGAAATGATTCTGACATTTTCAGAAATGTAATATTTAAGTTTTTAAACTTACATGGAGACTATGAATTCCATTTCTGTAGCTTACAAACCATTTTTTTCTGCAAAAGATTGTGTTCTTCTTTAATTAGTAAGGGACGTGAATTTCAATTCTTTTTAAGACAAAGCAGTAATTGGGTTATTAGTTCTTTGACAGAATCAAATAATGGCAGATAACCAGGTAAGAGAACTGTGCTTGCCACTTTTAAGTATTTTGCTTAAAATGCAAGCCAAGGTACAAGAAACAGATGCCTAAAGTCACTAGTATGAATTCCATCTTAGTGCCTTCCCTATTGGTACATGAAAATTGGTCATTTACAAAGTAATATCACATAACATTTTGTAAGTAAAATGTTCCATAAGTATGATGTGATGTCTTCGAAATCACTGCAGTGGCTGGTAATTCGTGTGTTCCCTGTCACAGAAAGAGGGATGAAGTAATAGTTTGCTGTAGCACACATCGTTCAGTCATTTAAACCTTATGATCTTTCAAGAAGTTAAATTCTTTGCAGCAGAACATTTAAGTATTATAGGCTTTTCTGTGGTCTAGACTTATTTTATTTTTTAATACTCCCATGCTATGTTCTGTTGCAGTTGGAGGAGGTAGTGATTTGAGACTTTGGACAGTTAATGGTGATCTTGTTGGACACGTGCACTGCAGGGAAAGTATTTGCTCTGTTGCTTTCTCAAACCAGCCTGAAGGTGTGTCTGTCAATGTGATTGCAGGGGGCCTTGAAAATGGAGTTGTAAGGTAAGTATTAGAAATGTTTATTTATTAAAATGCTCTATAACTTAGGCTTACAGTTTGAGAGCATATAGCCAAACATCATGCTGATATTTGGCTTTAAAGAAGATGGACAAGCTGTTACTCAGCTTGCAATCTTGTTAGTTGCTAAATAGGTTATGTTTATCACTGAGATATTTGTAAAATTAAGTGTGAAAATAAATGACTTTCTTTCAGACTGTGGAGTACGTGGGACTTGAAGCCAGTACGAGAAATAACATTTTCGAAGTCAGCCAAACCTATTGTAAGGTAAAAAGATCTTAAGCATATAATAAACAGATTTTTTTTTTCCTGGGGGGGGGGAAAAAACAAAACCACAACAAAATAGTCTTGAATGTTGAACATGAATTTGATGTGCAAACAGGAGGTAAACACCCATGTCTAAAAAGAGCAATGTAAACCTACTAATTATTCATGAAAGCAAAATGAGCACAACTGTACTGTATTTTTAATGACAGTAATAACTAGGTTCTGCTGCTGGCAGATGGAAATTAGCAGGATTCCCTTGAGAACTGAACAATAGCTACTTTTCTTATTCTTAAATTTAATATTTTTCCCCAGAATCTGTGTTAAAATGAGATGATCTTAACTTTGCTGGACTTAAAATAAACAGAATGTTACTTCTTCAGAATTAAATGAAAACACTGCATTTTCCCTCACCATTTTTTTCTGAAGCTGGAGGGAAATGATGGAGAAAGGGGTAAACTCAGAGGAGCCTGGAAGCTGCCATTTTGGAGTGCTTGTGTAGTTTTCTGAGTCCCCTTGGTTTACATAAGCAGAATTATTCTCATGCCAAAGTGTTTTCAGAACACAGTCAAAGGATTGAATCTTTGATATCCCCAGTGGTACAGTAGTTTGCACAGAGGTTTTAGAGTCATGGCAGAATTTTATCATCTTAATGCTACTGCAGTAACAAATCACTATGAAAAAATTTGTTTTGACCCTTGCTGAAATATTTAAAATCTAAACTACCGTGTTTTTTTAGAAATGAAAAAGATTGTCCAATAGCAGTTATTGTCTTTGTTGCCTTCCTTAAGAAGCATAATTCACAAAGCTTGTTGATAATGAATTAGTAGCTATTGAATAATTTAAAGTTCCCTGCTTAAATGCAGGATGAATGCTGACCTTCATGCTCTCTAACATTATCCATGGCATGACTGAAGGGCTTTACTAGCCCTGTCATAGCTCAAGAAATGCTCATCTGAACAAAAGTCCAGTGCTGTGCCATGAAATCTGATTGATTTAGTTTCTGCAATTGTCAGCAAGCAAGTTCAGAGGGCCCTGAGCTCTTCCTTTCAGAAGCAGAAGGGGTACAGCCCAGGGAGAGTAGGATGCTCCTACTGATCCTGCCCTTTTCTTTGACACTGCAAAGAAATGCACAGTAAGCTGTGGGGGATGTTGAAGTGCTGGCCAAAGCTGTAGTTCAGCCTGTTTGGTTACAAAAATGAGTAAGCAGGTATCGGTCTCCCTGGACAGTTGATCTTTGTTGGCTAAACCCTCATGGGTTTTTAATGTCTTCTAGCATTTTAAATAGCCACCTTTGATATAAAAGTAGGCTATCTTCTTGTTTTTCAGCCTTACGTTTTCCTGTGATGGCCATCACTTGTTCACAGCCAATAGTGATGGAAATGTCATAGCCTGGTGTCGCAAGGACCAGCAGCGCTTGAAGCTCCCCATGTTCTATTCATTCCTGAGCAGCTACGCGGCTGGGTGATGACTACTTTTGCTGCTAACTTATGTCTCTGATGCACTTTAAATCCCAAATAGATTATAGAATCTCTTATTTAACTGGACTTTGGAGTACTTTGAATGTCTCTAGAATAACTGAACAGATTTATTTTTTTTTTTTAAGAACAGTCTAAGGTGGCTGTAAAATTGCATATGTGCATGCACAAACTTGAAGCATATTCAGGTCAGCAGGAAGCTCTGATCATATTCTCCAATACCAGCAAAGTGACTCATAAATGCTCTAACATACAAGTCAAAATGCTGCAATGTAAAACACAGCAGTATTTTTTAAATCGCTTCTTGGACAGAAGCGATTTAAAAAAATCGATTATGCTTATTCCCTCTCTTAGGTTGTAAAATATCAGCAGCATCAAGTTCTGTAAATATCTATTCAAATGTCAGCATGTGTATATCTGATTAGTTGAGCATCGTATGGTTAGCTCTGGAATAAGCAATCCAAAACTTAAAAATCAAAGACCACTTAAAATTGCTTTTTTTGAGAAGCAAAGAACTTAGTAGGTGCTTTTTGCACCATCTTATGGTATTGTAATGCTAAAAATTGAATTTCTGTTATCTTTATATTTGTAACTTTTGACATCTTCTCTGTTAATGTAATAGTCTTTGCAACAGACAAAAATAAAATATTTGTCTTAGTGACGGGTCAACAGCTCATAGCATCATGAAACAATTGTTAGATCCCAATGCAGAGTTAACTCCCTAACTTTGTAATAGTTAGCTATTGCAATTATGTGGCAGAATATCTATTATGAACACACACAGCTTATCTTCCAGAGCTCTAAAAAGAGGTGTTAAAGGCACAGATGTTCTTCTGTTCTAGTGTCATTGAGATTCAATACACTGCAAAATGTTTGAATCTAACTGCTTGAATAATCAATGTTCATAGGCATCAGATGACTTGGAAAGGTTTACACAGATACACTGTGCAAATTTGTTATTTATTCCTAGGTGCTATTTTGGGGGGGGGGGAAATAAGCCTCCATTGTAAAAGGCTTAACAAATTTGAATTCTTAGGCCAGATGAAAAATTAGTGTTTCAGGCGATGGATTTGAAGACCTCTAAACCTGACACCATGAATGAGTGCCTACTAGTCATGCAAATGGTAAAACAAGAATGGTACACAAGTCTGATGTAGTTACATTTTTCTTTTAAATTGCTTTGCTTTTTCATCCCTGACATGTTCTGCAATTTCCATACAGTCAAACTGCTGTATCTTCTCATGTTTAAAGTTCATCTCCTTTTAAAGTTCATCTCTTTTCAAAACACTGTATGTGAAATTGTCAAGTTGTGACAAAGGTCACACACACAAAAAATCTTCACGCTTTTGAATATTCCAGTCAGTCTTCTGAAATTCTTGCAACTTCCCGGCTGAAGAACTTCACAAACTAGAAACACTTAAGAAAAGTGTTCTCGTAGTTCATGACATAAAGTCTCCTCTTCTGTTCAGTTAAGCAAGTGGCTACATACTGTATGAATTGACTTTTAAACTGTGTATATTGTAGCAGCCTTGTATGGGATGGCTTTAGTCATGTTTTTCTCTGTCTAAATGTAACGTAAGGTCCTAATACAGACCGAAGAGCTAAAAGCTTCCTGGCTCATGTTGAAGTGATGTGCTTTGTTTAAGATAAAAAAGACTAAACATTGTGGTTTGGGGGTGCTTTTGTGCTCCCTGGTTTGGGGTATTGCTCACAAAGGCTTATTTTTTATAAAGTAGAATTCCACTTGTTACAAACCAATATGCAAAATTGCTGGCCTTGTAAAGAGTGCAATATTATATATTTTTATGTAAAAGTAAAAAATGATTTTTTTGAAGCAAGGAATATTTATTCAGCTTAACATTCTGGAACTATTAAAATAACATTGCAATAGTGTCTGTGCATGATGTACTGAAATTTCCTGTAAATGTCACATTCCACGTTGTCTTTGTATATACACTGTCACATTGTCGGGTAATAAACAGATCTTTATACCAAATAATTTTGAGATTATTAGAAACATGTTTCTGGCTTAGTTGTACCTTTCTCTTTTAGAGATCTTTCACACCTTTGTCCAGATCAATTTCTGTGATTCTCAGAAATTCTTATTTTAAAATTCATGAGGTGGGGAAGTTCTATTTATGGACTATGTCATGTGCTTGTCAAACTGAAGGGGGCGAGTGTAACATGGGAAGTGGGAAACTCTAGGCATATCACTTTGCACACGTGTGCATTTGTCCTTCCTTCCCATAAGATGCATGACTAGAATTTGGATGAAGTGATGTCTCTCAAAGCAGAGACATTCCCCTTCCTTCCTGCTGCCTCGTCCCTGAAAACCTGTCTGAAAAGGCAGAAAAGGAATTCCTGTCTGGCTTCTCTGAGAGATGGGCGGAAAGTGGGAGCCTGGGATCTCTGTTAGGCATCTGATAGGATGTAAGGCTCTCTCTGTTGGAAGAGAGGTTTGGGGAGAGGTTCATGTGGCAAGGCCTGTCTACCTGATACCACTTGCAGGATTCTGTGGTAAACCCAGACCTTTATGTTCTGATTGTGGAGAGACCTGGTGAGAAAGGGAAGGGGAGGCAATAATCAGATTGTTACTCGTGGTGGAGAGAGGGAGTCTCTAAACCATTACTGAAAAAGGGAACCCTGATCTTGCATTTAGAGATGTTTAGGCAAACCCATGACAATGAATAGGAGAAACAAAAAAAAAAATCAGTAGAGAACTGATATCTGTGAAGTGAATTAAATGAGACAGTTTTCTGCTGGAAAAACAGTTTCGGTGAGAAATTAAAAATACCTTCCAACTTTTACTCTGAAACATCAACTTTAAAGATCATTTTTGCATTTAAACTACATTGATCTTTGAAGAAAGAGTTGAAAGAGTTTCTTATACTGAGCAAGAGTCCTCTCCCTCCCTACTTCCAGGATTTCTTGACTACACTTGCAGGATTTACTATGCATTTTGCAGAGATAATTTTAGAGAGCAGTGGGGGAATTATCACCTGGCTTGCTACTAAAAAACTTTTAGTTTACCTTTTAATTTCTTCACACTTTCTTTTGTTTAAAGCTGTATTGGGTTGGTTTTTTTTCCTTCTTGAATATGGAAACAGAAATCACACTATGCTGCTACTCCATCACAAAAACAAACAACAAAGCCAAAAAAAACCCTAAAAAAAACCCCAAAACCAATTACTACTTAAAATTTTTTCTGCTTGCCTTAAAAAATATCCACTGGAATATTAGGTAAGTCTCCATACGTACAGACAGTACTATTTCCTTTGCTACTGTAGTAAGTTACAAACTACTGACAAATGACCTCTGTGTAGAGATTTATTTGCCATTACTGCTCTGGAATGGGGTCAGAAAGCCACTGATTTTGCATCTGGATCCCTGTAATAGACTGTGTTGTGCATTTCATAATTTTGAACAAGGATTAAAAATTAAATGTGACTGCTCCAATTAGACTTCTAAGCTATTCTAGGCTACACAGCAGAAAGTAGTTGAGTAAAAACAGGAGTTTGCTCACTGTTTCCAGCTTTAAGCTAGCATTCCCAGAAAAAAAAAAAATCATCTTGATTCTCTAATGCAAATTACTGAAGCCCATGTAATCTTCATTAGGGGCTAGTTCATGTAAATTCAAGGAATAGAAGTTCATGTTAGCTGTATGGATATTGCCTTCAGAACCTATGGGCCAACTCTGATAGGAGACTCCTGGTTGTGGTGGAAGGTAAGAGTTTGCGGATTAAAAGAAAGCATGTCTCTGTAATTATGAAAATACATTTTAAAACAGCCATTCCCCACCCTCATATTTTAGCTTTAATAATAAAATTGCTAGAATCCAGAGGCAAAAATTTTGTGTAAATGAGTGACAACTGTCTGATTGCTAGAACCATTGAGCCTGTGCTCTTTGTCCAACAGCTCATAAATTCTTTGTCTGGTAAACGGAATTTTTTGTTGAACATGAATGAAAGAACAGCAGCATGAGCCAATGAGGTTTCCAATCAGTTTCTGGAACTCTAGTTAGGGGAAGCTTCTGAACTTACCTATTTAGTAATGTTTACCTTCTTCCTGCTGCATTTCCTTCTACCAAGCCACCACCCCAAGAGCCATTGACTCAGTCTCAAAAGAGGCTGCCCTTACTCCAAGTCACCTTTGAAAATGGGGCTCTTCCTTGTTCTCTTTTGTATAGAAAACAAATGTGACATAGAAATGCTTCTGCTCTATTATGACGGAATGAGAAGTGCTGATGGCCGGGTAGGAGAAAAGGGTGACCAGCATACACTCCTCCAGAAGGAACAGCACCTTACTGGGGAGTAAAATAAGTGATGACAATTTTTTCAGTTAAAAATGTTAACTGGCACTTTTAACTGCTGCTGACCTGTATGGGGTTTATATGGAAAAGTATATAAATATTGATCTATGAAGCTGAAGTTTTCTGATGTACTAACCCCGACAAGGTGAGTCTAAGTGCCCCTTTCCCACAGCAATTCCTTTCCTTAGGGCAGCTTTTTCCTTCATCCTTCCTTTGTTCAGTGGGACAGGCAGTGTGGGCTCTCACCCCAAACCCCTGGGTCATGCAAGTTTTCCAGTTTGAGGTACAGTGCTGGAGGTGGAGACTGGAAGGCAGCTCAGTGGGAAAAGGCCCTGGGGGTGATGGTCAACAGCTGGCTGAACATGAGCCAGTGTGTGCCTGGGTGACCAACAAGGCTAGTGACATCCTGGCCTGTATCTGCAATAGTGTGGTCAGCAGGACCAGGGAAGTGATTGTCCTTCTGTACTCAGCACTGAGGAGGCTGCACCTCCAGTACTGTGTCTGGTTCTGGGCCTCTCAATTCAGGAAAGAAATTGAGGTGCTGGAGTGAGTCCAGAGTGGGGCAATGTTGCTGGTGAAGGGTTTGGAGCACAAGTCTGATGAGGAGCAGCTGAGGGAGCTGAGGTTGTTCAGCCTGGAGAAGAAGATACTCAGGGCAGACCTTATCACTTTCTACAACTATCTGAAAGGAGGCCGTAGCCACGTTGGGGTCGGCCTCTTCTCCCAGGCAACCAGTGACAGGATAAGAGGATGTAGTCTCAAGCTGCACCAGAGGAGGTTCAGGTTGGAAAACAGGAGGAATTCCTTAACGTAAAAGGTAATTAAATATTGGAATGGATTGCCCTGGGAGATGGTGGCATCACTGTCCCTGGAAGTGTTTAAGGAAAGACTGGACATGTCATGGTCTAGTTGACATGGTGGTGTTCAGTCATAGGTTGGACTCGATGGTCTCAGAGGTCTTTTCCAACCTAAGTGATCTGTGATCCTGTTTGAGAAATACCTGGACGACCCTCTGATCCCTAAATCCTGCTAGAGGCGAGACAGGAGGAGGCTGCAGCAGTAAAGAAAGAGGTCGGAGGGGGGCGGAGCGGGAGGGCGGTGGCAGCCGGGCCGCGCGCCACCCGCCCCGCGGCTATGGGCCCGTGCTGCTGCCGCGGCGCCGCCCCGGGCTGCTCGGAGCGTCCCGTGCTCCTCCGCCGCTCCGCACGGTGAGGGGGAGCCGCAGCGCCGGGCGGGAAGAAGGTGCCGGGTGGGGCGGGCATCGGGGGATTGGGCGCGGGGCGGCCCGGGGCCGCTGCGCGGGGTTTCCCCCTCGCTGCTATCGGCGCGTGGTGTCCTGGGAAACCGCGGCTGGCTCGCCCGGCATTCCCGGTGGTGTCCGTGGGCTGCGGGTAAACAGGCGCCCGGCGGCGCCGCGCAGCGGAGTTTCCCGGGTACCGCCAATAGTCGGCGCCGGGCTTTTGGCTCTGCTGTCGCTGCATCGGCGGGGACGTTCCTTTCCGTGGAAAAGGCTGTCCCCAGGTCCAGGTACCCCGCGGGCGGCAGGGGGGGGCTCTCTGCTCGGCGTGCTCGTTCCTCCCCGCCAGCTGCCTGGTGCGAAGGCGAAAGGGAAGCGGCCGCTTTTCCTGCTGACTGCTCGCGCTGCCGGAGGAATAACACTTACTGCCCGTCGGCTGCTGGCGATAATTATTGATGTGCTGTGCTTGGAGCTGCTGCACAGCAGAGCCATTAGGGCAGCTCAGAGAGACAAAAAACTCGGAATAACAACTTGAAAAACACTGCAGGTGATGCAGTGCCGAGCTTCCCGGAGGCGTTCTTCCTACCTTGCGTGTTACAATTCAGTTTAATACATTTTAAGCAAGGTTTAAGTAGAATAATTAAATTTCCTTAGAAGCTCACAACTGTCTTTAAAAAGTTAACCAAAGAGGTAAAACAGTAGGCAGGAATCATCTTCCTGCCTCAGACTTTCTGGATTTCTGGTAGTTTGCTGGGCTGTACGTGCACATAACCTCGTATGATAAATAATATTGGATGAAAAGATTGTCCTTGTGAAATGTCACATTAGTTCAACCATTGTTTTCTTTGATTTTTTAAATACCGAGAAGCAAGATGATATTTTTGAAGAAAAATTTGGGCATAGTGGCAAGAATTTTTGGAACTTGACAGGTGGACTGAATATAGTACCGAATATGTCGGATAAGAACTGAGCTGTTGGAGTTTGGCTGGTTTGCAGTGACATGATTAGCAGTTATATTCAGTCACCATGTTTATGGTATGAAAATTACATTCTTTCCTTATCGTGAACAATAGTCTTACCTTTAACCTACTCATTTCTGCTCATACTACTAAGCCTCTCCTTAGTAGATGGAATGAAAAGCTGTAGTAATTTTCTAGTATTTCTTTGTGCAGCCATGAGACAGAGAAAGTAAAAGGATTCCTTACCCGCCCTCTCTTTTTACAGAGCTACATCAGTTGTGGTGAATCTTGGAGTAAGAACTGAGACGGCAGAGGAAGTTATTCCTCTCCTCTTTGTGACCTGCAGATAAAGGGGAAAATTACCCATGTTGTATGGACAGTGATGCTAGCACAGATAATTAGTGCTCTTAGTGCAGGGGTAGTTGTTAAGTTTCTCTTGCCTAAACAGCAACTGTAAAACTCTTCTATTTTTTTTCTTTTCTTTT